AATTCAGAACTCAAGTTCTTATACCTCCACTTGGCTGCAAAAAGCATCAATTATAACCGCCAAATATTTATTCGCACATTCAATCACACAATTACATAAACATTACAATTTTAACAGAGATAAACATAATTAGACACATCACTGAATTTTCATAAAATTTATAACAGAGCAGTCAAAATTTTAGGGATAAATTTACATATACACTACTTCAATAGCTGATAATCGTAAAATTGTTTTCGTGGATAACATTCATAATAGTATTTTGGGGATTTTATCCTTTTATAAAAATTTCTATCAAAACCTGAATGCACGTAAAAAATATTTAAAATCCCATACAATCAGAAATACCCAATGAAAATTTAGAAGAAATATGTTAAAATATACATAATAATAAGAGTAACAATATACTAAAAGTTGCACAATAAAAAATTTCTAGATGTTAGAATATTCTGATTTTTTTGGTGTCATTATAAACCTAAAAATTACATAAAACTTCTACTTATTAAAAATACAAATATGGTAAATGTAACATATCTCGATTTGAATAACTTTCTCAATTGGTCTATTGGAAGAAAATTGCTCTAATACCCCAAATGTAGACTTTTTCTCACAAGAAATCACATCTCATCTATTTCTCTCTAGTTTGACGATCCGATGGTAATAGTGAGAGGGGTTTTGGAAATTTTAATGAAAATTGATATTTGTAAAAATTGTAGTTATAACATTGTAGCGTCAAAAGGACCAGCGTCGTAGCGCTCTTAAGGAATTTCATTTTCAGTTTTGAATATAAACAGCTCAGTGTTGCAACACCCAAAAATCCAACATCAAACAAATCAGAATACCGAGAACACATCATTGCAATGTTCATAAAGAACATGTTATTTCTACCAAGAAGTAGAGAAGATATCGTCGTAGTTCCCAGAAGACAACGCCGCAATGCTCTTATAGGATTTTTCATTCTCATGCAGATTTTTCCACACCTGACCCATAAGCATCAATCTAGTGTAGAAAACGCATACAAAAACATTTAAGAAAGAAACATAATGAATATCTCATTTTACCAAATCCAAATTATGATTATAAAAAGTTCACAAATCACTGCTACATCAGTTCTCACAACCGTTCTACATCTTGAATTAATATACAATCTCAACTTGTCTCGCTACCTTGTAGCACCACCCTGCCTTCACAGCCTCATTAATCATTCATATCATCTCACTACATCTCATAGTGTTGCCTCTTTGCCTAAAAATTACATAAAACTCCGACTTATTAAAAATACAAATATGATAAATGTAACATATCTCGATTTAAATAACTTTCTCAACTAGTCTATTGGAAGAAAATTGCTCTAATATCCCCAATGAAGACTTTTTCTCACAAGAAATCACATCTCATATATATATATATTTCTCTCTAGCCTAACAATCCAACGTGATAGTGAGAGGGGTTTTGGGAATTTTAATGAAACTTGATATTTGTAAAAATTTTAGTTATAACATTGTAGCATCAAAACGACCAACGTCGTAGCACTTTAAGAAATTTCATTTTTAGTTTTGAATATAAACAACTCAGTGTTGCAATGCCCAAAAATCCATCAAACACTCCCAAAGACCCTAAACAAACAAGAATACAGAGAACACATCATCGCAATGTTCATATAGAACATTTTATTTCTACCAAGAAGTAGAGAAGATATTGTCATAGTTCCCAGAAGACAACGCCGCAGTGCTCTTATAGGATTTTTCATTCGCATGCAAATTTTTCCACACATGACCCATAGGCATCAATCTAGTGTAGAAAACGCCTACAAAAACATTCACAAAGATAAATAATGAATATCTCATTTTACCAAATCCAAATTATGATTATAAAAAGTTCACAAATCACTGCTACATCAGTTCTCACAACCGTTCTACATCTTGAATTAATATACAATCTCAACTTGTCTCGCTACCTTGTAGCACCACCCTGCCTTCACAGCCTCATTAATCATTCATATCATCTCACTACATCTCATAGTGTTGCCTCTTTGATCCGTCATATGTTTGAATTATCACCCTTTTTGTAGTAAGGAGATAATATTACATTGCAATTCAATAGTGCATCTAATTTTGAATTGTATTTTCAATCAAACAAAAAAAATACTAATTTCCATACATGCATTTACCATAAATACAAGCAAATAACTCTTTAAAATAAAAATAGACAACATTTGCTTAACCACAAAATCTCATCATAAATACATGCAGTTTTTAAATATAGAAATTTAAAATTTTGTACTGAAATGTTGCTTTAAGAAGCAATAAAAAAGTCGTCCAAAACGAAGCCTAAGCAATCATAATTACCCTATAAAAAATTAGCTGCAAAATGGAGGTGTATTTTAGTTTAATTTATTTCTCAATTCCTTAAAAATAGAAGTGCCTAAATTTGTGGATCTTGTCGCCATCAAGCAAGGCTACTCAAGTTGGCAATGTTTGTTCATGTATAGAATCGCAATAGGCTAGCTGAGGCATACAACTATTCCTTCGAATAATGCATTCATGAGCTACAATAAAAAGAATCCTTTGAAGGACACTACAAGTATCTAATGCCTTCTTGTATTGTTATCCAAATATTCTAAAAAAATTTCTCATTTATCATAAATCATATATATCATCTAATTTTTTTTTTATATTTTTATATATCTACTTTCTAAAATTTAATATTTAGTTATATAACAGTTAAATTCTTAAATCATATAAAAAATATCAATAATATTATTTTTTAAATGAAATACATATTTACATGTATTTATTTTAATGTGATTGAGATATTAGAGCCTTAGAGGGTGTCTTATATAAATAAATATGAAAATTTAAGTATTATATATATAAATACATAAAAATTTTATGGTATATATGTAAATTATTGGATTCATTAAGAAGTATTTATTCTTCATGGGTGGTAAGAATTCCCGCTGGTTTCAAATAGAAAATAATTTAGGATGGAATCGAATACGTCTCAACATTAAAAGTGAGAAAGGAAGAAAAACTCCTTAACTTAATTTGCCATTCTATTTGAATGCAATTTTTTTTATAATGAGAAGCAAAGAATATTATGATTTGAATTGATTTTATTTGGTCTAAAATGATTTATTTGTTTAATTTGATTTTGCAAATACTAATTTATGTGATTATTTAAAAGGGGATTGATATTTCACAAATTAAAAAAATCTCAATCATTTATTTCAAAAATTTTGTTTTAATTTATATCTATATTTTTATTTGATAGTGTAAACAAATCAAATTATTTATATATGTTTCAATTATAATTTTCTATTTTATGTAGCTATATTAATTAAAATTATTATTTTGATTTATGCATAATTATCAAGTAGTCAAATGACTTTATATTTGCATTTTTTTTGTCTAATACCTAAAAAAACACTAATTCTTTTGATTAAAAGAATAAGGAAATTTAACTAAATATGCCTCATTATTAATCATTTTAGTTTAATAACGGCTTGTTTTTTTATTTGAATAAATATCCCCTAAAATTCATTTGAGACAAATTACCCTTTAAAAGGGATATATCCTTGTACAACAATATCTCTCTCAAAACATAATAATAGCATCCTTAGCCTTAGCTTGGCCACTTGAAGTCTTACATTTCCCCTTATAACTATTGCTAATATCTTCTTTTTTCACAAGGAATTTGCTTCTTTGGCTTCGTTTGGGACAACTTTCTTATTGTTTTATGAAGCGATTTCTTAGTATAAACTTTTTTTTATTTTTAAATTTTATACTAAAAAACTGCTTCATAAAAAAGTTAATAATATTGATATTTCTAAATGTGATTAAAAAAAAAAGGTAAGATATAAATAAATATTAAGATTTAGATTTTATTTGTGAAAATTTTATTACTGCTTTTTAAAAGAACTTTCAGGCATAAAAAATTTTTAAACTAAAATTTTTTGTACTAAAAAATTTCTTTAGAAAGCAATTAGAAAGCCATCCCAAACGAAAACCTTAGTGTAAGATATTATAAATTCATAAGAATTATATAATATATATGTAAATCTCCTCTTTTATAAATATGCAAGTTTATCAAACTACAATTCCAGTGAAGAATTTGAGTAAAAAAATTTCTAGTTCAAACTGTCTCAAGTTTGATTTGTCTGGTGACCGGACGTAGCTCTACGTGCGGTCACCATTGAGATCACGCCAGATGCTCATACTCTTTACCGTGCGGCCCGACGACTTGACCCGGACCGGAACCCGGGAATGCTATGTTCGCGTATTGCTAGGTATTACTCGGTATTTGCTTGGTATTGCTGAGTATTGCTTGGCAATAACGAGAAATACCGCTCTGTGAAGACCAATATCGAGTAATACCGAACAATACCGAGCAATACCGAGTTTTTCTCGGTATTTGTCTTCACATAATGATATTTCTCGTTATTGCCGAGCAAAATAGACAAATACATAGCAATACCGAGCAATACCTAGTAATACTGGGTTGTCATGGATTTAAAAAACGCACGTGCGACATACCCACTATTCGTCGAGTAGGGTCCGCGGTTTTGTGCCTGCTACGTGGCGCGTTCTCAGCGCTCGCCGAACGTAGCTCTACATCCGGTCACCGGACCAAATAAAAATTCTGATTTGGGACGGCTTTATTACTGTTTTTTAAAAGCAACTTTTTAGTATAAAAATTAAAATTTTAATTAAAAAAAAAAAGAAAGTCATCCAAAATAAAATCTAAATCTTAATCTTAAATATTGATAATCAAGACGAGTATCTCATTGTCGTAATTACAGTACCCAAAATAAGTGTCCTCTCTACCTCTGAAAGCCAAAAGAAGAAGCTGTCTTAAAGTATAATTGTTTCATCAGTACATTTTCGACAATGTTAATTTTAGGTATCATCACCACCGTTAATCCCCACCAATATGATTCAGATCTCATATCATCATCACCCTGCACCGTCCGATCCCTCAGCATCCCCACAACTGTTCCAGGCTTCCAGCACATTTCTCCCCAATTGACTGCGAGGAATGAGAAAGACGCAGCCACCTTGCTTCCTCATTATATAATCTCTCCATTTTACCTGAGATCCGATTTCGCCATTTTTCCCATCCTCTGCGTTAGATCCGCCGGATCTCCCACCTCCGGAAAGACAACCATAGTCGGCCGCCTATTGTCATCACCATGGCTGCCGCCAACGCCCCGATCACCATGCGTGAGGCCCTGACGGTGAGCAACTTCACGGATCTCGAATTATCGTTTAAGGGACCTTGGATCCCTTAGATCCGTGTGTTTCAATCTCGATCCCGCGGTTTTGAGATCGGGAATGCACCCATTGTTGTGTTTTTTAGTTGTATATGGGATATATCGGGCTTTTTACATATCCGCTTTCTCTCGGTTATTTTGCTCGCAGCTTCCTAGCCTTGGTATCAATCCGCAATTCATTACGTTCACACATGTTACGATGGAGTCGGATAAGTATATTTGCGTCAGGGAGACCTCTCCGCAAAATAGCGTGGTGATTATTGATATGAGCATGCCGAATCAACCACTGAGGAGGCCGATTACTGCGGATTCGGCTCTTATGAATCCTAACAGCAGGATTCTTGCACTAAAAGGTACCAGCGATTCCCTTTATGGTTGGAATTGTAATCATGTGATGTTCACATGATGCCGCCCAACTCTAAATGGGTGGTGGGAGATCATATTTTTCGTCTTGCTTGTCACCTTTTGGTAGCAGGTTTTTTTGGTCTATATACTTCGTATGGTCTTAATGTGTTCTTTGATGGGAGTAATAAAGAAAAATATAATGGGATTTAGAGAGATTTGTGGATTACATAATATATCTTATTAAATATCATAGCATATGATAATTTCTCTGCATCTGCTGATTTGGTTTATGTGGATTTATAGTGTTTTCTCTTTTATTATGAATTTTTAACCAATGCTAATTGATTACTTTCCATTAATGCTCGTTTTTTGAAAACACATTGGCTTTTGTTTGAAGAAGGGGATTGGTAGTATGGAAAAATGAACTCAAACTATCTTAGGAAACACGGGCTTGATGTAATTACTATATCTATTTTATCTGTTTGTTAAATTTCACCTTTGCTAGAACATGCCGAGAATTGATTTGTAGTATTTTTTCTTCCTTGAATTGAACCTTGAACAGTGATATACTATTATATGATTTTCATGTTGATTGCAACGTTTCGCTTTTCCATGTCCTTGATTTATTTCAGTTTGATCAACATTATACCTAATACCCACATTGTAACAAAACTGAACAGTGATATAATTTTGATGGGGCAGTTACCTTTTGTTTCTTATCAGTTATCACTGTTCTTCAAGTTTGCCTGTGCTTTCTTATTATTCTACGCGGGTGATTGGCATAGAACCATTTTATATCAGTTTGATGAGGCTGTTTGCCTTGCAGTTAAATTGTGAGAATTGGGGTCACAAGCTATACTTGTTTTAGTTACGCAAAATTTGAAAAAGAATTTACCTCCATCAAACTTACTGCTACATTGCTAATATTTCCCCTGAAATTGTAAACAGTCTAATTGGTGCTGTTGTAGCTCTTATTTTAGTTGTATTTGTTCTTGCTGTGGCAATCCTGCAATCTCTGATTTCAGAAATGAACAGTTTGCACTTTTTTTTTCTTTCTGTATGGTGAAATGTATGAAAATTCAAGGTTCTTTTTTCGAGTCATCTTTTAACTAGAATAAGGAAATTAGATGCCTGCATTTACATGATTATATCTTATTGCATATTGAGCAGATCCGCCCTATGTCTCTAATTTTTAGCCCTTTTGCTCGGTAGAATTTGTAGTTACTTAAGGTTGTAGAACTTTGAACTTGCTGGCACTTTCGTTACCAACATTTAAGGTTGTAGAATAAAGGTAAAATTGATGCCAGGTTCAATCTATAGAATTTTTCCTTACACAATCATTCACGAAGGCAACCTATAAAAGAGACAGCATAATAATCAAATGAAATAAGTACCTACTTGGCATTTGCTTAACAGATCAGCTGTCTCATAATTTCTTCTTGACCGTGCAAGCTTTTATTTTGAAGTTGAATTATTTATTGTATTAATTCTGGAATCTAAAAACTTTAAAGTAAACCTTCTAGCTTTGATTGAAATTCTTTGGATATGCATATTCAATATGTGATATGCAGCATTGATTACTTTTTGGAATGATTTAACTTTTATAATAGGGAAGAATGATTTAACTTTAATAATCTGGAAGAATGATTTATCGGTCTCTCCAATGATAAATAATATGGTTGGTGGAATAGGGATGCACGTGATCAATATTCAATCCTTTCTTTGTCAGTATATTGCTCCTGCATTGCTTCTTACAAAAAATAACTTTGATTTGTGTGGACAAGGCTAAATGGATTTGCAATTCAACTGCATGCAAAATTTAGCAAATGATTCTACTTCATGTTAAAGGCATCATAGCAGCTTTTTTTTTGGCATCATAGTGGCTGTTTGTGTTGGTGTGCTTGAAAACATAGTAATGATAGGTACTATAGATTTCATTGCATTCTATTGGATTGATCTTTATAGGTACACTCTCGATCAGCACTTAGAACCTACAGTCAAGCTAAGGTATGCCACTGGAGCTCCATAGTTTTTGTTTATAAATTATAATTAAGTGAAATTGATAATACGTTCAAAAATAGCACCTGTGGCATCTCCGTAATGAGCCATAATGCTGCAATCAGCACGATGAAGAGCTAACATGAAATTTGAAGTTGAGTCAATGCCCTTCTTGACCATTAGTATCTTGAGGTACTTTAACGATTTGTAAAAGCTTCTTGAATATTTTCTTTCAATTAGAGCTTCATCAATTCATCATCATCCTAATCCTATCTATTTTGGATTGACTTTATGAATCCTCATTTTCCTATCTTTCAGGGAGAGTACTAATGCTAATTTGTATGTTGTATATAGTTGGGTAGACCTCATGGAAATTTTAATGGTTTTGAGATGAACACAAGGATTCGAGAAGATTGGATTATATCTTGTCATTTCTGAGGAAGTCCATAATTCTTGCCGGAATCACATCCCATCATTTATATGAAGGATAGGCTAACAAAAATTTTTCATTAATTTGATTATGTGTCTTAAATATTCAAGCATTCTTAACTATTTATGTGGTCATGTTATCTGTTGAGGTTTTTTTTCTGCAGGTGTGTTTAGCACTTGAAAGTTTAACCAAGAGAAATGATATTTTCTTTATAAGCTTAAGTTAAATTTTTTCTTTACCACTTGTTGGTATGCAGCCAATAAAATATTTCTCTGGGTGAAGAGGCAGTGATATTCTTAATATAAAACGGAAACTAATTTAGGTAACAAATGATTTGTTCTTTTAGGAGTTATTGGACACCACAAGTTGTCCCATTTTTTTGGCAGAGGGCAAAACTAAGAAAGAGAATGAATTTTCATATCCAGTCATCTTAGGAGTGTCTAGGTACTATCCAAATATGTTGTGGACGTTTTTCTGAGAATTTCTTTGTGATATTAGGAGGTTATATGTTTTTTTTTTTTAATTTCCTTCTCTTTCTGAGGTTTTTGTCTTACTGTTTTGAATAGTTGCCAGTTGTTGATCATGGTTATCTTTTTAAATATGCAGCTCAATTGCCTGGAACTACTCAGGACCACCTGCAAATATTTAATATTGAGATGAAAGCTAAAATGAAATCACATCAAATGCCTGAGCAGGTAGGATGCTACTTGCTTTGAAAGGATACCTTCTTTATGTAAAGTTCTTTTTGCACATGTTTTACTCTCTTATTTCTGAATTATTTAACGTGTCTTGAGATTTTCAGATTGTCTTTTGGAAGTGGATAACACCAAAGCTGTTGGGGTTGGTTACACAAACATCTGTTTTTCATTGGTCAATAGAAGGTTAATTTTCTGTTTAAGCATGGTCTACATGTTACTGTTTCTGCCAGTTTGCATCACTTTCTGTTCTGACTGGATAAATTAATGTTTTATATCTTTGATTTAGGTGATTCTGAGCCAGTGAAGATGTTTGAAAGAACAGCTAATTTAACAAACAATCAGATTATCAATTACCGGTGCGACCCATCAGAAAAATGGCTAGTTCTCATTGGCATTGCACCTGGCTCTCCAGAGGTAGATAGAAGAAAGGCTTTCCAAAATTAAGCTAAATGATTTAGGAAAGAATTTGAAATTTCAAATTTGTTTGAGTTTGAATTCGAAAACTTATCAAAATTAGAACAACTTAATTTAGGAAAGAATAAATTTTAGAGGGAAAGGGATTTGATTGAGAGCATTAATTGAGAGGAATTAATTAATATGTGAGGGAAAAGAAGGGCGGCTAAAGGAGGAGGGGGAGAGATGTCCACATACGATGTATGTGGCCCAAAGCATTAAATGAGATTTGATATTAAATCTGAAATTGATTTTAGATTTAGAGGAATTAGGAGAAGGCTTCCAAAAATAGATTTGTTAATTCAGAAAGGATTTGAAATTCAAACATCTTTGAATTCAAATTAGGAACTTTCCAAGTTAACAATAGATTAATTTAAGAAGGTAATAAAGAGGCTATTTTGAATTCAAAATTCAAAATTTGTGGAGGGAAGAGGCTATGGGTGAGGTGGTCGACCGACTATGGAGGTGGAGGGGTTGATGTTTGATCCAAAAGAAAAGTTAACTAAAATCAAACGAATTAAAATAAAAAACGGATGATGAATGGTGGAGACTAGAGACGAGAGGACAGAGAACAAAGAAAAATAAAATAAAAATGGTACAAACCACGAGCCCGGACTCTTCCTATGACTGGTGGGTACTACGTTGCCCTTTCCGAGGGACTTCAATCCACGAGCCCGGATCCATCCTGCAGCTGGTGGAAACAAGGTTGTTCTCCCATAGGACTTTTCCTCTCTAGAACTCATACAGAGATCAAGACAAAGGCTCCAATTCTTTTTTTATTAAGAATCCATCATTACATTACACAAGCAAGGGCCTTTATATATAGGTCTAAGAAACTAAAACAAGACACATATGCCCCTAGAGCTTACATAGGACAACCCTCTTAAGTAAGGGTAAAAACGAAAAGTTCATAATAAAAATAAAAATTACAAATAACAAATTAAGGTAAGGTGGAATAATCTCGGCCGTCGATCGTCGTCTCCTCCTTTGAAAATCTTCATGATCAGATGTCCGCATCAATATTGTTTTGTCACTCGGCATCTTCATTTAGATCATCATCCACCATACTTCAAGCCTTCTAGTTGTCTCTTTGGTTTGATGGCCTCTTTTATTTGATTTGAATTATATCCTGTTGACCCTAAGTTTCATTTCCTACTTGTGAATTGTAGGCCGCTAAGAGAAGGTGGCATAAAAGTGACTTGTTCTTCCAATTCCTCTAGTATTCTACTTGTTTTTTTCTTTTTGGATTTGTTAGCTAATTATTGTTCATCCTCTCTCCACCTTTCATGTTCTTCAGATCATGTTTCTTTTGCATCATACAAATCACCTATAAGTTGATTTTCCTTGTTGATCGGTTCCAACTTCCATCCACCCCAATTTGTAATGAATATATGATACATTCAATGGATCGTTCCCTCTGGAAACTATTTTAACTGAATAAATACCAGCCAGCCTGGTCTAGCATAATTTTTCTTGTACTAAATGCTGCCAGTTCATTAGCTACGACAAAATTCACACCATTCCCTGTTTTGTACTTCTGTAGAGACCACAACTAGTTAAAGGAAACATGCAGCTATTTTCTATGGATCAGCAACGAAGTCAAGCACTGGAAGCACATGCTGCATCGTTTGCATCGCTCAAAGTGAGCATTTTTTTAATCTCTCATATTGGTCATCATGAAAGATTGTACAGTTTGTGTGACGATATTTGTGTTGTTTTATTGACTTGGCACTTGTTCTCATTCATACACAGGTTGCTGGAAATGAGAATGCATCAATTCTTATCTGTTTTGCTTCAAAATCCCATAATGCTGGGCAAATAACTTCCAAGTTACATGTGATTGAGCTTGGAGCCCAGCCAGGTTAATACATGCCCTTGCATACATTTCTTTGACACTGATGTGTTTTGCCCTTATCTTTTTTCACTGAATTCACAACCATTGTTATTCCCAAGCACAAATGAGATTGGTTATATGATGATATTTGGCCAACAATCAATTATGAAACTTTTGCCCATGTTCCGGAAATGAATTTTAATTCGGTGGTTGATAAATTTACTGAATTCACTTCAATTTTCTTACCAATTTTATCCTGTTCAATTGTTTAACTATATATAATTATTGAGAAAAGCATTTAGGCAAGATATGTTATCTGTGTTAAAGCCAAAACAGATATTTGTGCATTACCTGTTATACCTGCTAGCTTTCACCAACGCCGCAATTTTCACTGTAGCATTATATTGTATTATCTTTCCATTATTACTGCTATTCTTTTGGTTTTGTAATGGATGTTGACACTTGGCATGTTTATACCTTTCTCTATATTGATCTCTCTCTCTCTCTCTCTCTCTCTCTCTCTCTCTCTATATATATATATATATATACAAAGAACTCAAGGTTGGGGTTTTTTTACAGGCAAGCCAGGCTTTACAAAGAAACAAGCTGATCTATTTTTCCCACCTGACTTTGCTGATGACTTCCCTGTGGCCATGCAGGTATGATTTTCATTTCCAGTAATAGTCAGTTTTGAGAGTTTCATGAGACCATTCAGCTTATCTATTGGCGATTGAAGTTTCTTGTCAAATATTTAACCATGTGCAACACCATGGTCCTTAAAATATCGAAGTGATCAAATAGCATCAAATCTGATGGAGGTTCTTAGCTCCAGAGACATTGCAATATTGCATTAATTGAACTAGGTGCATTTTAGAGTGAAAGTTTGTTAATACCGTGCAGTTTTCTAGGTTTAGTTTTTCATGCTTCCATTTAGTTTTAATTTGTAATATCCTCTTTCAACTGTAATGGCATTCTGGAACGTTAATTTCTCATTCTTTCATCTATGTCAACTACAGCTTCTTTCCAGTAGCATTGAATCTAAAATTTTGATATACTTTATTTGCATATGATTTGATTTTGTTTAAGTTCCATGATGAAGTAAATTGTATGTAGGTAGGTAGTAAAACTGACCAAACTGCTGCATCCTTGGAATTTGATATTTGTCTTGCCTTTTGATGTGATTCAAGAAGCTAGATGTTCTTTAATAATTTATACTTGTAATTTGCATCATATTTGACTTTCATAACTGATTTCACATTTTCTTATGAATGCAAATCATTGGAATTGATTTATAATTTATATCTTGCATTTCTTGTGCTCTGAGGAGTTGCTGGCTAATGATTATTTTCCAGTAATTGAGGGACTGCATTATAATTGTCATATTGAAGTGCCATGCATCAAGTCTTTGCAAATTCTTCCAATGTCTAATGTGGAGCTTATAGCATAGTGTAGGATATCTCTTTCCAACTCTTTTGTATGAGACATGGTACTCTAAACAAGTGTGATTAGGTATATATCTTAATCATCATCATTGCCATCTTTGAAAGTTCGAGGAGGTTGTGAGACCTCAATGAATTGGCTCGAGGCGCACCAAGAGGAGGGGGTGAATTGGTAATTTAAAAATCAACTGCTAAACAAAAATACTTATTTTTTATTTTTGCTACAAAAATAATTTGTAAACTAAATCCAAGTAGATAACTCAAATAAGTGCGGAAGCAATTAATAATTATATATATATATTTGATCATATATTACGATATGAATCGTACAATACAATTAGTTCATAAAATTCAACTTTTAATATTGTCACTAACTCATTTCCTTGAGTGTGTGTGTGCATGGTTACCAAGCTTAGTATACACCAAATATATGATTTGACTAAAAAAAGGTAAAAATACATAAGAATTGAAAATAAGAACTCTTCACGACATACTTAACCCTAGTCTACCCAATTTTGAGCTGATCAAACTTACAAGTGAACGGTGGACTTAAAAGGTTAGTGCATAGGAAAAAACAAATAAGCAATTAGCAGAAATCCAATAATGTTTGTTATCATCAAAATCGTAGGATTTGAGTCCAGATTTACGATAATCTTCAACATTTATGCCATATTCGAGCTATTTGGGGGGAGTTTCTTTATGAGTGCTATTTGTTGGGACATATCTATTTTGCACAATTCTTTTGCACAACTTATTACCATGAATCCACTCCTGCCATCTGATTTTTCTATGATAAGTCTATTTATCTATCTTATTAGCATACCTTATACATTCCTTGTTGCTCAAACCATCTAATTTTAGTTTTTGCTAATTTGTTTTTTATTATTGATGCTGCCGCCATTTCTCCATTATAATATTGCTTGTTCTATATTTTATACTTTTACAAAATATCAACAAAATTCTCACTATGATTACACTCAACATGGCTATTAATAACTTATTTGTTCGCCGATCCATATTGCATGGTCGATCTAATCACATCCTTATTAAATTTTCTTTTAAGTATCCATCATATTTTCTTAATCATATTACTCTTGATACACTCTTTATAATTGTCAATTTTAACATTTGAAGCTCTCTCCCATTCAAATTTCTATTCTTTTATGTAATAAATATGACATAATTAATCTATCATACCTTAATATTATTTTATCTTTAGAAGCATTTATTGATGATTGTCAAATTTGCCTTCACAAAACTGCATATATTGTATTCTCAAATATTTACTTGCTACTTCCAAGCCTTTCTCTTCTAATAATTGCATCCATATCCTAGCTTTTAATTTACTTTTAAGGATGTCTCACCTACCATAATTGTCTTCTGTAAATGTCCATAAATATCCTACACTAAGGCATATTATTTTGAATATTTTTGTAGGCATCTCTGTAGCTAACATAAAAAGAGGGATTCAATGTTGATCCTCAATATAATTCTAAAAACTGTCATTTCACCCCATAATTTTGCTTATTACCCATTTTACAATTTTTTAGCTATTTGATGATTAATGCATTCTATTAGACTATTTATATTTTTCATCTTCATCTTTAAAATTATATTTCTTTCCTTTAATTGACTTTTGTTCCTCATTTCACTATTCAGTTTCCTTATGTATGATCTATTTTTAAATAATTTTGAATTTCTATAGCAATCATTATAATGTAGGTAGATATCTTATCTTTTCCCGGTTTGATACAACTTTAAATTTTCATTAATCCTTTCTAACAACCTATACGAGAAGTCAAGCAAATGTTTCTTATTTAAACTTTAACTTTTTACTTTGGGAAAATACTTATTCTAATTTTTTTTTATACTTCTAATTTGTACATTCACGACAAATACTATATGTTGTGTTAAATATTTATATTTTGTGCTCTCAAACTATCCTTAAAATCACCTTACAATCTTTGCACATCTAATTTTCTTAAGTAAAAATAGTTTTTTTTATTGTGCCGCTTTGAAAACTATATTTTTTTAGTTGTCCCGCTTTTCCTTTCCGATTTTTGTCTTCTCACACTTGTCATGAATTTCTTTATAATTCATCCTACTAAACCTATATAAACATTCAAAACTTTATCATTAATTACCTTCTCTTCCACATGCATACATTTGTAGTAGTTCATATACTTCCTAAAACTAATGTTTCTCTCTTTTTTATCCAACTTAAGTAGCATTAAGCTTTACTACTTTTATAATGTTTGTGATTAACTTGGTATCAGTCATCATATAACTAACTTTATTCATCTAAATAATTAATTTTCCAACTTTTTAATCCTTTCTTATCTTAGTCATAGTTTTAGCCTTCATATCCTTGAATTTTTTCCCTTTTTATCCAACTTATTGCATTTGTCTTCTTCAAATGACTACCCATTAATTTTGTATCATTCTTATTTAAATCCCCAAATTTAAAGTTGATCAAGCTTCCATTTAGATCTGCTCAACTCTCTTTTGACATTTCGCAAACCCTTGCCTAGTTAATGAAAAGAGTAAAACATGAATCAAATGCAAAACATTATTAGATAAAAAAACTAAAAAAAAAATTAAAAGAAAAAAAAATGATTGTCCACATTAAAAATGTCTACTTTAAAATATTGCTTATGTTGTCGAATGAGGATATACTTTCTTGCTTTCACTTCTCTTGTTATATAAATTTGAAACTTTTTGTCCACTAACTCTGTTATGCTAGAAGTGCTAATTTCAAAGCCAACATACTAAGGGTCTAGACACCAATATCTCCAACAGTAGAATGATCATCATTAAGTAAAAGCTCTGGTGTATCTTGATAAAAATCATTTTAATTAAATACGAAATCAATTATAACAATTGGGCTTGCATCTTGGGAAGGCATTGGATCCAAGGTTGGATCTAAAATCGATTCAAGGTTTTGTGTACAAACCAGATTAAGCGTAGTCAAAACTGCCATTATGGCATATACATATTGATGAGGACATCGAAGATCAACGGCTACGATCGTGTCTATTTATTTTGATGCATTTTATTTGTTATTTGTACTTTTCCCTTTCTACCCTCACTTAAGGGCTTTGTCTTATGTTTGCCCTAGGGGCAATTGTGTTTTTTTTTTTTCCTTCATGTATTTGGCTATTTAAGCCCTCCCCTTCCTCTTGAAAAGGGATGATGATTATTGAATAAACATTTTTTTGCTCTTGTGTTCTCTTTGTGAGTTCCATCATGAAGATCTCTTAGTGAGTTCATCTCTTCTAGATCTCTGTGTGAGTTCTATGGAAAGCCCAAGGTGAGGGCAAAAGCAATACCCGCCAGTCGTCGGAAGAGTCCTTGGCTCGTGGTCTACCTCCGCCATCCCAATTCTCCTTATCCTCCATTACCCGCCAGCCCTAATTCATTCTCAAGACCGTGATCTTCGTTCTCTTGGATTTCCCCTCACAATCCTCCCCCCAATCCTCCATCCCGCCGCCCCTTCCCAGCTGGCCGCCTGCTGCCCGCCGACTGCACCTCACCACCGGCCAAGAGGCCGACTCTCTATCTTCATAGTTGCATCCTTGAATTGTGAATTCATTATCTTCATGAAGATCATATTAACGCTTCTCCGCTAAAACCTAGTAATTGGATGAGTTGTGTGAGGGACCTTCTCATAGCGACTAATCTTATTGTTAGTATTGGAATCCATTGTTGGAACTATCCATGTATGCAATGTTGGATTAAGCTGTCTATCTTTTGAACTTAACTCCTATGCATGTGAATTAACCTAAGCTAGGTACTACGTTAATATTTATCTTATCGTTCAATTCCACATAAGATCTTGCTTATTATTGCCTCTAAATCTAAACGTGCAAACTTTTTCAAGCAAATTATTTTCGCATGGATTGTTTCACATCACATATATTTTATAAAACTAATGTTACTCTCTTTTTTATCCAACTTGATTAGCATTATGATAGGTCGGTTCCTCCGACCTGGGCCAAAGCCAAACTGACCCAATTGGGTCGGGTATACCAGACGCGATTTTGCACCGCCTCTCCTTGCCGCCTAAGAGGGTCCACCGCCTCTTGCTTGCCATATTGGGGACCAATAGGGATTTATTTTCTAAATTAAATGCAAATATGGAAGGTAGGGAATATTTAAATTATTAATTGTATTTGGAAATGAAGAGGGGGGCGGTGGGGAGGCTTATAAATAGAGATGAGGGGGGAAGGGGAAAGGCATGCTTAGATTGGTGTTCTCTTGGAGTCTCTTGGAGTTTTGGGGCTCTAGACATTGCGTCTAGAGATTTGGAGAAAACGATCCTCCTCTCGAATAGAGGATCACTTGTATCTTTGCTTATGTTTCTTTGCTTTGAGTTTTCAGTAAAGTTCTCTTTGGTTTTCTTGTCCGTTTCTTCCCGATCTTGGTTATTATCGTTGTTTTGATCAAATTTGTATTAGGGTTGCTTGAAAACTCAAGTAGATCCAATATGATTACTTGCGAACTCAAGTACTTCCTATCACATCAACTTTTACTACTTTTATAATGTTTGTGATTAACTTGATATCAGTCATCATATACCTAATTTTATTCACCAAAATAATTATTTTTTCAACTTAATATCCTTTTCTATCTTAGTCATAGTTTTAGCCTTCATATTTTCCCTTTTTACAATGTATTGCAAATGTATTATATTTAGTCTTCTTCAAATGACTGCTCAATAATTTTGTAGCATTCTTATTTAAATCCACAAATTTAAAGCTGATCAAGCTTCCTTTTAGATCTACTCATATCTCTTTTAACATTTCACAAACCATTACATATTAAAAAAGTTATGATTAGTTAATGAAAAGAGGAAAACATGAAGCAAATGCAAAACATAATTGGATGAAAATACTAAAAAAAACATATTAAAAGAAAAAAATTTTGACGGTCCACATTAAAAATGACTACTTAAAAATATGGTTTATGTTGTAGAGGATATACTTTCTTGCTTTTTCTTCTCCTCCTGGTATATACAATTTGAAAATTTTTGTCCACTAACTCTGTTGTGCTATAAGTGCTAACTTCATAGCCAACAGGCTAAGGGTCTAGAGACCAATATCTCGGACAGTAGCATGAATGCATGATCATCATGAACTAAAACATCTGGTGGATCTACATCAAAAATCATTTTAAGTAAACACGAAGTCAATTATAACCACTGGTCTTGCATCTTGGGAAGACATGGGATCCAAGGTTGGATCTAAAATTGATTCAAGGCTTTGTGTACAAACCAGATTTAGCATAGTACAAACTGCCACTATGGCATATATATATATATATATATATAGACACACACACTCACACACTCACACATACATAGATCTACATAGATATACACACATATACATGGATATACGCTCACGTATGTGTATATATATATATATATACAAGTTCGCAGTTTGGGGTGTTCCTTCCAGCATCTTGAGTTTTGACAAACATTTAGCAAGAAGAATAGTAGAAGGAATGCCTTAAATTCTATATTATGCTAGTAGCCGTAAGTAGTGGAATCAATTAAATCTCATTCTCCAAGAACTCAATAATATCCATTTCAATTAGAACTCTAGCCACTAATGACCTGGAAGGTTGTGCAGTAGCAGCATCCAACTGAAGCTGTTTAAAAAATTTTGACCCAAGAGAATACATAGTGGATTTGTTGAAGTAGTGACTTTGTAGATGTAGAGAAGCAACCCAAACTAGGGTGATAGGAGGTTCCTCGGAACAATTAAAATGAGGAGACCACTTAAGCATACGTATTAAGAAGTTATTATCATAGTATGATATATGAGAAAAGTTTATTGAATAGGTTGATAAGAACGTGTTGAGGTTCGATAAGTACAACAATGTAATCTCCTACAAATCTCATTTCAGTCATGAATCTACAAACAATCTATATATTGGGATGGCCTCAGGAAAACGTGCTAACAAGGGAGAAAGAAAAATGAGATGTCAACTTAAAGATCTCCTCGTTAGAAAAAATTAGTGCTGGTTTACCTTAATGAGGGTATGGAAGCTTGTGATGAGTGGTACCCTATGATGCACAGACACGGACACGGCGACATGGATACGACACGGACACGGGACACGTCAGTTATTGAAAATATAGGACACGGACACAGGTTGGACACGGTATTATAGTTTTTATATTTAAAAAATAGTGTATAAAAATTAAATAAATATAATTTCAAAAATAATTTGAAAATAATAAGTCATTTAACTAGAATTTATGCTTAAAATGATTAGTATTAGGATGTCGAGAGTCAGACGTCGATGCCGTTTATCAGTCACCGAGAGAGGAGATGAAAATACCTTCACTGCCAAAAAGAAATGAAAATGAGAATATTCGATGATTGCGTATTAAGTGCGGATGTTGATTTGGTGTTGTGGATATGAAATAAGAAATTTAGTTTCAATCCCGCCAAATACAAGAAATTCTATTTAAAAAAAATCATAAAATATTTAAGATACGTGTGTCCGACACGCGTGTCCAATTTATATTTAATATTTTTTAATCGGACATGTTTTCGACGTGTCTGACACGTGTCGGAGGAGTGTCGGACGAGTGTCGTGTCGGACACTACACACCTCTTTGAGGAGAAGTGTCGGTGCATCATAGGTGGTACCACATGACCCTGCTGAAAGTATCTGTGGAAGCAAGAGGAGGGGACATGTTGAAAACTACGATCATTATCCCCTCTAATGGCCTCAACGAATGAACGGGGAATAGCATTCAAGGGAGATTCCATTGTGGTTAAAATCCTCGCAGTGGGAACTACCACTGGGAAAGCATCACATTATAGAAATACTTGAGGAGCAATTAGTTGAGTAGTAGGAATGAATACTGATAAAATATTCAGTGCTCTTGGAAGCGAGGTGGCACAATTTCATAAATGAGGTGTTGAATAAAAGTTGACAAAAAATGAGCTTGAATAAAGCAGTAATGATGCCATCCTAATGCCCCACAATAGCGGCATGAGATGACATCCATTACATAGGATGTGACCATAAGTCAATGGCCGCAGACTAAGAGCGCTAAGAGTGAGAGTGCATCAGGCCACTTGGAGTAGACAAGCCTTGGATGTGGAAGAAGTGCCCTGATTGAGATAGGAATGATGTCATTCCATGTGGGTCGGCGAAGGTTGTAGGCTGCGCTAGCACAAGCAGACATGCCACATATTGGATTACAATCAATAATTAAAGTCAACAGAGCAGTCAGGCCTTGCACGATGGTGCCAGGATGCGAGGGTGATTTCCTGTGCATGCGAGCATTGGGACAAAGGAACAAAGGTGAAATATCCACATGCGAGTGTCGTGACTAAGGGGATTCACAAGTCCAATGATTGGGTAAGATTGTGGCTTGTTATTTGTGGATGACATGCAAGCAAATCTTTTTTTATTGAGCATCACTTACGATGACATGCTAGACAACTTTTTTCCACTTCTAATCACAACCAGGATATGTCGTTTTATTTTGGTTTGAGGAAGATCCCAATTCTACAAAACATACTACAATAATTCATTTTATTATTTTAGCGTATGCTTTATTATTGACTATCAAACCAACATCAATCTCAACTTTTCTCAATAGGTTGGGATTGGAACAAGTTGTTAGTTTTGATAGCTAATTATTGACCTTCAAGATAGGTTAAGAATAGGCGACAGACAATGCTGGCTAATGATACTAAAGAATAAGATTCACAACCTTAGGAATGCAGTACTGTAAACTCGCAATAGTTAGTGGAGTTTTACCACTCCACATAAGTTGCTTCAACAGAAAAATAGGTTTGGAACGCTCTACAGAGATTTGGAATAGCTAAAACTTTGGAGAGCACAGAAAATTTGCCTGAATTAATTAACATGCTCACTTGATCAGATAGAAGACTGAAATCTGCCTTCCAGTTCTCCATGCACCATCACTTGCTCCAAGGGAGTCCATTTTAATGCTAGGAAAATGATATCAAATCCCACCACTATAAAATAAACTAAAAGTGAATACAAATAATGTTTTATATATAGTACAAATTTTGCCTTTTTTCTACATTCTGAACCTATACTAGATTTGAATAATTTACAACTTTTGATAAAGTTTCAAAGTAGTTTGGTATGTTGCTTGGATGTTCTCTTATCATTTACCTACTCGTGAAAACTGGCATTAACACCATTTGTGCACTGAATAGTATTGACTAGAGCAGAATGATTTATAGAGTAAATCCTAGATAGATCGAATAAGACTAATGATGGTGATAATGAACACATAATTCTCTTGTTAGTAATTTTTTATTGAGGATGATAATACGTAAAATTTAAAAATTATGAGAAATGCACTTTTTTTGCTGGTGATAGCAGGCTTGAAAGTAATCCTTAAGTACGATTTTCTTGTGTTGAGCTTATTTTTTGGCTTGCTATTAGATATGGTGAAGCTTTTGGCTTTAAACGTTTTAAAGTTTTTTCCCTACGTGGACAAATTTTTTAGTCCTATTTTTGCGGATCATAGAGGTTTGTATGGTTATTTAATTCATGTTTTTGGCATCAGCTTTACACTTGGTTGTTATGTACTCTGGTTTTAACTCTTACTCTTTTTTTTTTGCAGGTTTCACATAAGTATAATTTGATATATGTGATCACAAAGCTTGGTCTTCTATTTGTATATGATTTGGAGACGGCTGCTGCAGTTTATCGAAATCGAATAAGTCCAGATCCAATATTTCTGACTTCAGAAGCTTCTTCAGTTGGTGGATTTTATGCTGTTAATAGAAGAGGGCAGGTTCTTCTTGCTACAGTGAATGAGGCAACTATAGTACCTTTTGTCAGTGGCCAGGTAAGCTACCAAATTTGTACTTTTCCCCTTTATAGCTGCTACAGATAACTTGTTTATATTTTACATTTTTTAACAGTTAAACAATCTTGAGCTTGCTGTTAATCTTGCAAAACGAGGAAACCTTCCTGGGGCAGAGAATTTGGTGAGTCATGATATTTTTGAGGTTATCTTACATATGAATGTGCAAAAGCTACCAGTTGGTTGACATGATTTTTATCATCTGAGTTCATACCAAGATTCTTCCATGAGCTATCTATAAATGCTCGGTGTTGAACTTCATAAATTCATGCCTTGAAGCTCCTTTATATTGTAACTGATGATGTCATGTGCTGATGACTTGGAAATTATTGTTCTTTATTTTTATATCAATTGGCATATTCTCCGAAGCCCCTTTAATTTATAATAAAAGCATGATCCTTTTTAATGCTTTTTGGCTATTCCACTCAATTGATCAATTGAGATGTTATTCAAGTGAAATGGTAACTTTAAGCTTATAAAGTTTCATTATATCTTTCTGAACACTAATGCCTATATGCTTGTGATAATATATATTGTGTAATATGTTACCGTAATACTATTATTTATCTTGCTATTAGCTCTTTTTCCTTTGGATTGTATAGGAAGCCAAATCGAAAATAATTAGGATTTTAACTATTGTTTTGATTAGAGGAGATAGATTAAGTTTTTTTGAGGTATTGCAGAGAAGAATGGAGTAGATATAAATAGGACTATGCATTGTTTGGATAAGGTCAAAAAATTAAATTGAATTGATCTTATTTGGTTGGTTTGATTTAGTTTTTAAAACATTGCTTTAATTATTCGGTGTAATTTTGAATTTCTTTGATTTTTGTTTATTGGTTTAGTTTTTGTCTTTATAACTGATCAAACAAAAAATTGAATTATATTAATTTTTCAAATGTTGACCTCTAACTAATTAGCCAATCGACCCCCACACACGGTTCACGACGCTCACATGATCCCATGTTTTGGAAATAACTACTAGTTTAATTCATATAAAATGACTGAGGAACGAACGAGGAGAGGCTACGCTAACCATTCAGACTCTCACACATGCAGAAGGAGCTTTGAGCGACGGTTCTCTCGATTCTCCCTGCCCTCTCTACCGCATGCAACTCTGCGAGCCAAGCCCAAGGCTTCTCCTCTCTCACAAGCGACCATGCTTCTTGTTCGACCTCCTGAACACAAGTCGGATCTCCCGATCTCTAAGCCTCTCTTATGCCCGACTCACACAAGCACTGACTCTCGTGAACGACTTGACTTTTCGCTCCGACTCCCTCAAACCGTGGCACCTTCCTCCCAAACCTCCCATTTGTCCCTCACATGCGAATCCGCTTAGTCGCACAAACCCAAACCTCCCATTTGTCCCTCACATGCAAACCTACTGAGTCGTACAAACCCAAACCCAGTTCGATCCGGCCTCCTGATCTTCCTATTTCTTGATCTAAGCAGTAGGTGAGTGAATAAGGAAGAGAGGGATTATGTGTGTATAATAATTATAATTATATATATATATAAAAGAATGGAATGTCACAATCACTGATTGGAGGAGTCGAAGACATATACCGGGGTTGATATGCCCCCGAAGCCCTCGACTGTTGATTTGATCCATAATTAAATTCCTTAAACTAACCAATTATAACATCAATGAATTAATTAACTAATTGATTGAAATAATTTGAGATATTAATTAATTTAAACAGTTAAAATAACTAATTAAATGATCTAATTAGCATTAACTAACAAAAAAATTTAAATTCTAATTTAAAATAATTTTATTAATCAATTGAAACCTAATTAATTTGATTAACCACTTTAAAATGAAATTTAACAATTTAATTAAATTAAAATGCACTAATTTTAAAATAAACTTTCATTTAAATAATTGATTGAGCAATTTAAATTTTAATTTAATTAATTAAATAATTAACAATTAATTTTGAAAAAATAAAAGAATTAAACTGAGCAATTGATTTTTCATTAAAACTTAACTTTAATTAAAAATTTATTTAAGTAATTGACCTAATTAATTAAAGTAATTAAATCAAAATAAAAGAAAGAATCAAAGATGTTTTCTGCTATCATACACAAGGTATAACTCACACTAAAACTCAAACTCCTAAAAAACTAACTAAAATATAAAACAGAAAGAAAACTCTTAAATCCTGGACTAAACCCCTCTAACTCCAGGTAAGCTCCAACTCATGGTAAACCCTACAACTGCTAAAACCTGCAAGTAAACAAGCAAAGTGCCAGCTTGGTACTAGTAAAACAAAATTGGTAATGGTAAAATAAAATTGGTACTGGTAAAACAAACTATTACCATTAAAACAAAACTGGTAGTAGTGAAACATAATTGGTATTGAAATAAATAGAACAAAACTAATACCGGAAAGAACATAATTAATACCAAAGCAAGCAGTGTATTGAACAAATAGCGGTACTAAAGTAAAAAAGATAGGGTATTGAAGTAGGAAAACTATAAGCAAAATCATAGTAAACTACTGAAAGCTAGGGTAGAAGGCACTAATGTTGGGTGATAGGGTGCATAATTACTCTAAAGTCGGCCTAATCGGCAACTACGAGCTAAAGCAGGATGAATCTCAATTAAATTAATGCACATAACATCCCAAAGGGAGTTATAAACCTTCATAAGGGGAGCAACAAATCATCCCCAAGGCGAGTAATCAAACCAACAGGCTAATTTCAACGAGAAGCAGTAAGTCCTGCAAACCAAACACTAGATTGACAACCTCTAATAGAGGCCGTAAGACCTACTATACGAGCCACCTTACTTATAAGGCTAGGTTGTAAGACCCGCCCACAGGCTACTTCCAAGGAAAGACTTAAGACTTGTTGCTCGGGCTACTTCTAATAGAAGCAGTAAGACCCACTCAAATACCAAATTACATGTTTGCTAAAACCTTGCTAACCTAAACCTTTGTCCCAACAACTTCTAATAGAGATTATAAGTCTGATTTTAATTAATGCATTAGGGGAAAACCCTAGATAGAAGAGAAGTGACTTAACCCCAAACTCAAGTATATGGGCCACTTCCAAGAGAAGCTGTAAGACCTGCTATACATGCTACTTTCAATGAAAGTCGTAAGCCCTAACCCAAATCCGAACTACAGATAACTCATATATAGGGTCGTAAGACTTAATCCAAATTCAAACTATAAGCAACTTCTAAACAGGATCGTAAGACCTAACCTAATTCTAAACTATAGGCAACTCCTAAACAAGGTCGTAAGACCTAAACTACGGGCAACTCCCAAGCGGAGCCGTAAGTCTCAACCCAAACAATATCAACCTACATCTATCTACTTCAGTTTATTCAAGATCCCTGAGAGGAGGCAACCCATGAGTGTTAATCAGATTCTTTGGACACTACAATCAACGATTGTTAGTGTTGGTAGACTGAAACTTAAGGTATTCCCGGGACGATGAAACAATGGGATCTTGATCGGATTTACCTCCATCCCCCACAACAAAAATTAAAATTATTACATGTCTAAATATTAATTCATCCTTAATCGAGAGTTATGTTCTACACGTTAGGAGGGGTAATTAAGTATGAGGGTTTGTCGTCATAGGAAGTGGAACCTTAGAACTAAATAAACCCTAATGTCGATCTTTAGGGGAAATCTGGTTAATTTAAAATCCAATTCACCTCAGGGAGAAATGGGACCTAAAGCTTGTGAAAGCAGAGTTCGTGCCGTAGCGTCACTTTTCCTGAGCGAACATCGAATATTAAATCAATAAAATTATGTAAATAAAGAAGTGACATAAAGATCTTATATGGATTCATTCCACTTGTCAATATTATAAATTTAAACAAAAATTGCTATGTATTATTCTATGTATATATATATAATTAGTTTCATCATTAAAATTAATTATTTGATTTATTTAAAACAAAACCAAATTGATCACACTAAAATTTTGTTCAATTTTAGCCAATCCGACAAAGTGGGATAAAGGCATGATTTTGGTGTTGTTTGTTTGGTTCGAAAAATAGTTTGGTCAATTTGATTTTCTAACAATTGAAATCCATTGGTTTAGCTAATATGTAAATCAAACTATTCAAATGATCAAATGCATGCCACTAGAGATAAATTTGGCCTATTTGTTGGCATCCTAGGGAAGAAAACTTGCTTCCGCTAGATTTTCCTCTACTACTTATGGTTTTTCTTGACGAAGATTCCTAATTGCTTTGGTGTACTCTTCAATGATATTTCAATATTTCATATCATGTAAAATGCATAGATTGTGGGCTTCTGCTGGTGTTATGCACCTCTTGAACTTGATATAAATAGATAAAATCATGAACCATTTTCTTAACTGTTCTGATTCTACTCTTCAGGTTGTACAAAGGTTTCAGGAATTGTTCTCTCAAACGAAGTACAAGGAAGCTGCTGAACTTGCAGCGGAGTCACCCCAAGGACTTCTCAGAACTCCTGAGACTGTAGCAAAATTTCAGGTACCAACTCATCTCACGGACGCTTCATTTGAGTTACTGGAGCATACTTTTTTCAAAGCCTAGGTTACATAAGAATGTTACATACTGAATTTATTTATATGTTTGTATATACATTTGTAATTCATAAAGATCGTGGCATATATGAAACAAAATATTTATGTGATCATATTTGCAAACTCAAAAATTAATAATATGTCAAATGAGTTAAAATATCAAGATGAAGTGCAATAGTTCCTTAAAAAATGGAAAATTGGAGAGTGAGAGTGAGAGCAAGAAAATCTAAAATAAGATTGGTTTTCAATATAACTTCGTTACAGTATTATAGGTGGTATCTAATTTGTGCCCAACTTGTGTCTATGACATCTATATTATGAATGCCCCAGAAGTTTCTAATTTTTGTTTAGAAAAACATGAGAAAGAGATGGCCTAATGGCTTGTTTGACATATCATCCTGAGGTTACAAGTGTCCAGCATGATGCCCATTACATCATGACGTAGTAGATCTGTAGGAGCGTTGTTCCTTATAATCGGCTAATTGACACTATTTCTTCTCTAACTGCTGAACTTGAATTCAGTCAGAAGCATATTCACTTGCCTTTTTATTTTCTTTACTGTATCTTATGCTACACATTGTCTTTTGATTTATTTTCTCAGAATCTTACTTTGAGGGTCATTGATAACTTGTAATTAATTTCATGCAGAGTGTGCCTGTTCAAGCTGGGCAAACACCACCCTTATTGCAGTATTTTGGAACATTATTAACCAGGGGGAAGCTCAATGCTTTTGAGTCTTTAGAGTTGTCGAGGCTTGTTGTAAATCAAAACAAGAAGAATCTTTTGGAGAACTGGTTGGCCGAGGATAAACTCGAGTGCAGTGAAGAACTTGGGGATCTTGTGAAGGTTGTGGGAATGGAACAACTACCAAATACCAGGCTTCTTATTCTATATTTAATCCCAACTAAAATTATGGGTCATGCTGGGCTTTTTTCTTATTATAATTAACTCTTGATACTGTAAGACCTGTTGATTTGTATGGTTGTCCTTGACGTCTTTGTTCTTGCTGTGGTCAGACTGTGGACAATGATCTTGCACTTAAAATTTACATAAAAGCAAGGGCTACTCCTAAGGTTGTTGCTGCTTTTGCCGAGAGAAGGGAATTTGATAAAATTCTTATTTACTCCAAACAGGTATTGGTGCTAACTTTAAATTTAATCCAGCTGTGATTTGGATACGATTGGAAAATTATTATTTTGATTTTATTTTTAATCAATAAATATGCTTAATGATGAATGCAGGTTGGCTACACACCAGACTATCTTTTCCTTTTGCAGACAATTCTACGGTCAGATCCGCAGGTAAAGGATAATTTGTTTGCATATCTGATGGTTTTAATATTGTATACATTTCACTGTTTTTATGGTCATTACAAGGAATTCTTTCATCTTTCACTATGAGATTTGTTTTTGAAAAATAATATCAAGCATGTTGTTAGTCTAATTGGTTCATTAAGTTTATCGAACTTAGTTTTTTTACCACAATCTTGCTTTCAAGGTGAAACGGTTGACCTCCTGATTCTTAAACGCATTTGTAAGTGAACTAGGTATAGATAGACTCTTGATTACAAGTAGTTTAGTGCTCATGAAGGTTTAGTTAAACCTTCACTGCAGGAATGCTGGCTTACCATAACAGCCCTTAGACAACAAGCTTTTTTATCTTGATAAATTTTGTTCTTCCTAAATATATTTTATTTTTTATATGTAGAAGCTAATATAGTGTCTTACATATCAGCTGATTCTTATTTTGAAATTCTTGGATTGACAGGGAGCAGTAAATTTTGCCCTCATGATGTCTCAAATGGAGGGTGGTAGTCCTGTTGATTATAATACAATTACAGATCTCTTTCTTCAGGTTCTTCTTTTCATCTATTTAATATACATATATGGACTATGGTTATATTTTTTTATAAATAATCTTGTTATAATCATTATATATATTCATTGGTCAGAGAAAAAAAAAAGCAGAGTTTGCTCTTTTTTTTTCTTTATTTGTGTTCTTATTGATGGCCTTTTGTTGGGTGTAGAGAAACATGATCAGGGAGGCAACAGCCTTTTTGTTGGATGTGTTAAAGCCAAATCTGCCTGAACATGCGTTTCTTCAAACTAAGGTGATTTCTCTTTTCAAATACGTGTTTTCTGTGTTTTGTCTATTTTACAAATCATCTGATTATATATTCTAATGCTGCAGGTATTGGAGATTAATTTGGTTACATATCCAAATGTTGCAGATGCCATATTAGCCAATGGAATGTTTAGCCACTATGATCGCCCTCGCATCGCTCAGTTGTGTGAAAAGGCTGGCCTGTATGTGCGAGCTCTCCAGGTTAGATTTTTTTTCTTCCTTGTGCACTAATTTTGTTTTAGTGACCTAGTAATTTTTAAAATTAAGGCGGTGTTCAATGCAGCACTATTCTGAGTTGCCAGATATCAAACGTGTCATTGTGAATACACATGCCATTGAACCACAGGTTTGTTAGTCAAATTAAAATTAATGATTTTGAATGACTTTGTTCATACTGAACTATGTACTTTTGCATCTAGGCCCTTGTGGAGTTCTTTGGAACACTATCTAGAGAGTGGGCATTGGAATGCATGAAAGACCTTTTGTTGGCTAATTTGAGAGGTAACCTTCAGATAATAGTTCAGGTAATCGTTCTTCTTTGTCTTCTTTTCTTTGATGTGAATTCATTTTGGAGTTGATTTTTGACAGTAATTATGATTTCAGGTGGCAAAAGAATATTGTGAGCAGTTAGGTTTGGATGCATGCATGAAGCTTTTTGAGCAGTTTAGGTCCTATGAAGGTCTTTACTTCTTCTTGGGGTCGTATTTGAGTTCCAGGTACATTTTTTGCTGCGCATGCACATTTATAAAATAGGGATAGGCAGTTTTTGTCATTTATGCTTCTATGTGATTTATACAGTGAAGATCCGGAGATACATTTCAAGTATATCGAGGCTGCAGCCAAAACTGGACAGATTAGAGAAGTTGAGCGTGTTACTAGAGAATCTAACTTCTATGATCCTGAAAAAACCAAAAACTTCCTAATGGAGGCTAAGCTTCCAGATGCAAGGCCTCTAATCAATGTCTGTGATCGCCATGGATTTGTTCCTGATTTGACTCATTATCTCTACACCAACAACATGCTTCGATATATCGAAGGATATGTTCAGAAGGTATAAATAATTTTATATGTTGCAAGAATAGTAATGGACTGCAGCAAGTCATAATCATGGTAATTTTTCTGAAAATTAACAATGTTACCATTGATTTGATTATAATTTTCATAGGTGAACCCAGCGAATGCACCAATGGTTGTTGGGCAACTTCTAGATGATGAATGCCCAGAAGATTTTATTAAAGGTCTTATTCTTTCTGTTCGGTCCCTCCTTCCAGTGGAGCCTCTTGTAGAGCAATGTGAAAAAAGGTTGTAATACCTTAGCTGTTAAATATTAAATGCTTTATATCTTCTGGGCTCGAAGCTAAGTCATCAATTTATTTTGTCTGTGCAGGAATCGTCTTCGGCTGCTTACACAGTTCTTGGAACATCTTGTGAGTGAGGGAAGTCAAGATGTGCATGTGCATAATGCTCTAGGAAAAATCATCATAGACAGTAACAACAATCCAGAGCATTTTCTCACTACTAATCCGTATTATGATTCCCGTGTTGTTGGTAAATATTGTGAGAAACGGGATCCTACTTTAGCAGTCGTTGCCTACAGGCGTGGACAATGTGATGACGAACTTATTGATGTCACAAACAAAAATTCCCTGTTCAAGTTACAGGCCAGGTATCCCCGCTGTCTTGTGAAATGATTTTATTTATTTAGTGTTTCATTTTATTGAGAAGCATAATATTAAGTTAAGTGTGGCAGAGATGAGGATGCTCAGATGGATAAGTGGCTTTAATCTTAGAGATAAGATACGAAATGAGCATATACATGAAAGGTTGGAGTAGCTCCAGTAGAAGATAAGATTAGAGAGAGTCATCTTAGATGATTTGGTCACATAAAACGGCGGCCTTCAGATGACCCAGTTAGGAAAGTAGAGGTTTTAGAATTGACTTATGTTAAGAAAGATAGAGGCAGACCTAAAAAGACTTGGTTAGAAAATATTAGAAATGATCTTTCTTTATTAGATTTAAACGATAATTTGTCTTTTAATAGGACACAATGGAGAAAAAAGATTCATGTAGTCGACCCCACATAGTGGGATAAAGGCTTGATGTTGATGTTGTTGTAGTGTTTCATTTTATTCTTGACAATTTACTATGCTCAGGGCTGAATGTTTTCTTCATTAAATTACAGATATGTTGTAGAAAGAATGGATGCTGATTTATGGGCAAAGGTTCTTGAACCTGAGAATGAGTATAGAAGGCAGTTTATTGATCAAGTTGTATCTACGGCATTGCCTGAGAGCAAAAGTCCTGAGCAGGTATCTGCAGCCGTTAAAGCTTTTATGACCGCTGATCTTCCACATGAACTAATTGAACTACTTGAAAAGATCGTGCTCCAAAATTCTGCCTTCAGTGGAAATTTCAATTTGCAAAACCTGCTTATTTTGACAGCAATTAAAGCTGATCCATCAAGGGTCATGGATTATATTAATCGGTTGGACAACTTTGATGGGCCTGCAGTTGGAGAAGTGGCTGTTGAAGCACAATTATATGAGGAAGCCTTTGCTATCTTCAAGAAGTTCAACTTGAATGTGCAGGCAGTGAATGTCCTGTTGGACAACATCCGAAGCATAGATAGAGCGGTCGAATTCGCTTTCCGGGTGGAAGAAGATGCTGTTTGGAGCCAAGTTGCAAAGGCTCAGTTAAGGGAAGGACTCGTTAGTGATGCAATTGAGTCATTTATTCGCGCAGATGATGTAACACAATTTTTGGATGTAATTCGTGCTGCGGAAGAAGCCAATGTGTATCATGACTTGGTAAGGTACCTTTTGATGGTGAGGCAAAAGGTGAAGGAACCTAAGGTGGACAGTGAATTAATATATGCCTATGCCAAGATTGATCGGCTAGGCGATATTGAAGAATTCATTCTAATGCCAAATGTTGCTAATCTTCAAAATGTTGGTGATCGCTTATATGATGCCGAATTGTATGAGGCTGCTAAAATTATATTTGCATTTATTTCAAACTGGGCCAAACTAGCCAGCACTCTTGTCAAACTGAAGCAATTTCAAGGTGCAGTTGATGCTGCTCGTAAAGCAAACAGCTCAAAGACATGGAAGGAGGTTTGCTTTGCTTGTGTTGATGCTGAGGAGTTCCGGTTGGCTCAAATTTGTGGGCTTAATATTATTATCCAGGTATCATTCCCACTCAAATAACTAGTTATCTCTACATGGCTATGTTGCATCTATACGTATATGACAAAACGAATACGACATGGTACGGATACGAGACACGTCAATTCTTAAAAATACAGGATACGGGTACGGCGCGAACACGACATTATAATTTATAAATTATATATAAAATTTAAGGAAGCAATCAAAGCATAATATTTGAAATCACAAAAAAAAAATGAAAGTAACATCATTTGTAGCCTTGTAGCTTATAATATCAAAATAAAAGTAAGCATTAAATGTCTAGTATAATAATAAAAGCATAAACATAAATTGTCTAGCACATGAAGTTTCAACTATTCAATAGAAGGAATGATATGATTAGCTTCTTCAGTGGTTTGTCTTTGGACTTCTATATCATCTTCAATAAATATCATAGCTTCTAATTCATGATCATCAAGTGAAAGATTAGCAATTTCTTATATTCACATATCATCAAGAGGACTCAAATCCATCTCGGAAATGAGAGAACCTCTCTCGCAGCCGTTGAAGTAAATACGATGGGTCTTTTTTTCGGATTTTTTTTTTAATTTGCAACGGACACGCTTATCGGATACGTGTCCTTTTGAAATTAAATAGTATTTTAATTGGATACGACAAAGCCGTATCTAACACGTATCGGTGCAGCACGCCTTCATAATAAGTGTATCGGTGCAACATAGCTAGATGGTATTAAAATAATTTCATTTAAAGCTTCACATGCATTTATTTATTGATTTTGTTGTTGTAGGTTGATGACTTGGAAGAAGTCAGTGATTACTACCAGAACAGGGGATGCTTCAATGAGCTAATCTCTCTAATGGAGAGTGGGCTTGGTTTGGAACGTGCACACATGGGCATTTTTACAGAGCTGGGAGTTCTATATGCTAGATATAGGCCAGAGAAACTTATGGAGCACATAAAACTTTTCTCTACGCGCCTCAACATCCCGAAGCTTATTCGAGCTTGTGATGAGCAACAGCACTGGAAGGAGCTCACTTATCTGTATATTCAGTATGATGAATTTGACAATGCTGCCACCACAATTATGAATCATTCGCCAGATGCATGGGATCATATGCAGTTCAAAGATGTCTGTGTAAAAGTTGCTAATGTCGAGCTTTATTACAAAGCCGTGCATTTCTACTTGCAAGAACATCCTGATCTTATCAATGATCTTCTCAATGTGCTTGCCTTGCGTGTGGACCACACACGTGTGGTTGATATTTTGAGGAAGGTATGCCTATTTTTCGCTAACGCCAATTTATGCTTGTTGGCTTTAGTTGGTTTATTCCAAAGGCCTTGAAAGAAGCGGCTTTTGCTTATCACTGTCTTAGGCTTCGTTTGGGACAGCTTTTTTACTGCTTCTTAAAGCGACTTTATTGTATAAAAATGTTAATTTTTGTATTAAAAAGTTGTTTTAAGAAGCAGTAAAAAAGCCGTCCCAAACAAGACCTTAATGGTAAGTTATTACTATATATTAATTGTTTCATCTTTCATGGTCCCAGGCTGGTCATTTGCATCTTATTAAGCCGTACATGGTTGCTGTGCAAAGTAACAATGTATCTGCGGTGAATGAAGCACTGAATGAGATATATGTAGAGGATGAGGACTACGAACGACTGCGAGAATCAGTTGATATGCATGATAACTTTGATCAGATTGGACTTGCACAGAAGGTGATAGCAAGTTGGATTTATATCCTGAAGGTATTCTTAAAAACAAATTCTTATGTGCGTTTGCCTTTGTTATCTGAGCAGCTTGAGAAACATGAACTTCTTGAAATGAGGCGAATTGCTGCCTACATTTACAAGAAAGCTGGAAGGTGGAAACAGTCCATTGCTCTGTCTAAGAAGGACAACCTTTACAAGGATGCCATGGAAACTTGTTCACAATCTGGAGACCGTGAGCTTTCCGAGGAATTACTTGTTTATTTCATTGAGAAGGTAAATTGCTGCTTCAATATTATTCTTGTCGCACATCATTACCCACAAGTTAAGCTCCACTATGTGGAAATGCTTTGTATGGGTAGGTTTTTTATTTGGATGGTTTCAGCAACTTTAAATTGTAGATAGTCATGACTGCATCATTCTACTTGTGGAATGGTCGGATTTGTTGTGCGCCTATAACTTAAGCTTCGTTTGGGGCGGCTTTTTTATTGCTTCTTAAAGTGGTTTTCTAGTAAAAAATTAAAAATTTTGTACTAGAAAGCCGCTTTAAGAAGTAGGAAGAAAGCCATCCCAAACAAAGCCTTAGTATGCAGATTCATGATGGGTTGATACTCCATGATGGGTTGATACTCCATTGCCGACCGACATCATTAATAATGAAGGGATTGAATTCTTTTGTTTTTTTGGTAGTTTTTCACTACCTGTACTGTTTTCTCTAGGTATTCAGAGAATTTTGTTATTTATTGTTTGGTAAATTGGGCCATCCTTTTCAGCCTTTTTAAAACAATTCAAAACATATATTTCACTGCTCCTGCCTGTGTTTGTTTTGAGCAGGACAAATTATTTGGTGCGGATACCGGACAGAGAATCATTCAGATTTCTCTCTATATACAGTAAAAGCGCAGTCAAAGCACAGTTACTGGAGCAACTGCACTTTGACTGTGATTTTACTGTAGGCAGAGAGAAATCCGGATGATTCTCTTCATCCGGTGTCCGTACTTAATAATTTCTCTTTGAGCAGGGCTCTTTTAATGATACATTAAAGTGAATATAGAAATAAATATTATTTTCTTCCTTCTTAGTTCTTGGAGTCATTGTTCCTTTATCCAAAGGATACAAGCTGAGTGTTTGATTATTCTTTTTGCCTATTCTCATAGGGTAAGAAGGAGTGTTTCGCTTCATGCCTCTTCGTCTGTTACGAACTGATCCGGCCTGATGTTGCCCTCGAGCTTGCCTGGATGAACAACATGATCGACTTTGCCTTCCCATATCTCCTTCAAGTAGGCTGATTTCAATTCTTTGGGCCTTTGTTTTTTCTTTGCATTTATCATCCTATTCTAATGATGCCTTTTTCCATGCAGTTTATCCGGGAGTACACGGGGAAGGTGGATGAACTCATAAAGGATAAGATTGAGGCACAAAACGAAGTAAAAACCAAAGAACATGAAGAGAAAGAAATGGTAGCTCAACAGGTATCTATTTTCCTTTGTAATATCTTGCACTAGTATTATCTGGCTGAATATTATGCAGGGTGCATGCATTAAGCCCTTCTCCAACCGAACTCCAAACGCATGAACGGCATCGCTCGCGAGCTCCAGCCGAACAGCAAAACTTCCGCTATTTTGTTGCAGGTGAACAATGCGACGCCAATATTGGCGTGGCACTGTTCACCTACGCTATTTCTTTATCTCTACCGGATTTGCCGAAGAAACGCGCGAAAGAAAGAAAGATGGTTATTTCGCATAAGAGGCGCAAAATGGAGTTCGATTGGAGATGAATCCCGTCATTTTTTTAGTTTCACTGCATTTTGGAGTGAAGAATGAAATTTTTGGTTGGAGATGCCCTAACTGGCCTTCTTTCTGCAGAATATGTATGCCCAGCTTCTTCCTCTAGCTTTGCCTGCTCCTCCAATGCCTGGCATGGGGGGAGTTGGCGGAGGCTTTGCACCTCCTCCGCCACCCCTCTCAATGGGCGGAATCGGCATGCCTCCGATGCCACCATTTGGCATGCCGCAGATGGGAAGCTACTGATCGCATTGTGGTACTATCCCAATCATATTCTTAGAATTTCAACAATGGTGCAGAAGCCAACCAACTTTTCAGGTAATTTTTAGTCTTCCATCGATGATCTTCTTGGTTTGCAGGGTAAATTTTGTCATTTTTGAGTCTGAGTTTTAGTTTTCCTGAGTTGTTTTCCTTCTGATGAGGAAGAATATTCTGCTAATACGCCATTTGTATAGGATACGTCTTCCTTCTGCTCATTAGACCAGTTTTGCATTTCTCGATATGATCCCATTGTAACAAGCTTCTGCACCGTTGTTGGATGCATTGCTTTGCATTGCTGCAAGGGTTTTTCTTGTTGATTTATCGTGTGATGTTCATTTGAGTAGTGCTGAACTACATTGTATTATTCAATATATTATTTCTGCAGTGGTGTCTATAATTTTTTTGAAAACAGTTGGTCCAAACTTATGTTCGGTTGCTTTTCGAAATATTGATTCGTGCTAGTCTGGTCTGCCCTGGTGTTAACCGTTTTAGGCCTCGTTTGAGACGGCTTAATAGTTGGAAACGTGAAAAATAATTTCGGTTGCTGTTTGGATGCATAATTTTTGTAAAATTGTATTTTTCAAATCTCCATTGTCTTACCAATTTTCAAAACTTTTTATTTTTGTTTCTCCGGTAGAACAAGGCAATTTTGAAACAACCGTTTCTCGCCAAAATCTTACAGGAGTTCTGCTACCAAACGAGGCCTTAGTTGATCTAGAAGGGAAAAATTGTGGTATAAGGTTTTATCTGGTACAATTTTTTTTATTATTTTTTAAAATAGTTCTTTAGTATATTAATTTTTGAAAGCAGCAAAAAAATAGTAATCAAAAGTTGTCTCAAATGAAGCATAAGGCTTTGTTTGGGACGACTTTTTTACTAATTCTTAAAACAGCTTTTTAGTAAAAAATTAAAATTTTTGTACTAGAAAGCTGCTTTAAGAAGCACTAAGAAAGCCGTCTCAAATAAAGCCTAAGTAGTGTTAAGGATGGGCTTCAAAATAATTGGATTTGTTTTGAGATTAGTGGTATATTTAAAGATTTTCTATTTTGCTAATTTTAAAATAAATTTAATAAATTCAAAGCTCATTTTTAATATAAATTATATTAAGATATTCTGTTGATTTATTTTTTCTATTTTGGAGGATCTATCGTAATGCTTAGGCGTTCCTTTTTGCTTGTGAAAGATTTTTCTAATTCCCATTTGCTCAACCTTGCCACAAGCATTGTTGTGCCAAGCCAAGATAACTAGCCTTAATCGCCTTCACACAAGTTTCACAGCATCTCTCTACCTCCTCTGAGCTAGCCTCTTGCCATGATCATGTTAGCAATTAATTCATAAGGAGTACTTTAAATGGATTGTGCTAACGTGCAAATCATCTAAGCATCAAGGAGAAGTCTCAATTATGTTTATATAGTTACTACCATGGCCACAATACTGAGGAGTGAGAATATTGACATCTAGTAGAAAAGCAAACCCTTGTTGAGACAATGAGAAAATAAAAATAATTATAATAATGTAATTTAATATTGAAGACATCAGAGCTGAGGCCACTTGACAAAAAATGTTGAGAATATTGATCGAATAAAATGCATGCAAAAATAGGTCGTTGAGCTACTTAAGGAGATCAACCCGGGAGATAATATAATTCTGACATTTTATATAGGACTACGAAATTAATTTCCAAACTTGGTTTGACATATAAAAAAAATATATTATTGTGTTAATGGATGCATGTTATACTACATAGATAATTTGTCAGAGATTGTGTGTCGTCATTGCATGACACGAAGATTTAAACCAAAATCTGAGACAAACATAAAATATAAGGATGAATCAGTTCGTAGGATATTTTACTTACCCATAATTCTCTGACTGCGACGTTTATATAGGCATCTGTGAGCTTAGAGCTTCGCTGAATATATGAGATGACATAACAAACATATCTCGCAAATTGATGTCTTGACACATCTGTCGAAAGCAGAGGCTTAAAAACGTTTTGACCGTGTACATCCTACCTTCACCACAAAACCAAGAAATGTAAGATTATGTTTATGTGCAGATAACTTTACTCCATTTAACAATCTGCTTCATCTTACTTATGTTAGTCCATGATACTCACCCCTTATAATCTTTCTCTCGAGTTATGTATAACTACACAGTACATATTTATAATACTTATCATTCTAGGGTCACATAATCCAAAATTAAAAATTGAAATATTATTGCAACCTTTAATCAATGAATTTAATTTATTTTGAGAAAGAGTAACTACATATGATATCTCCACCAAATAAAATTTCATAATAAGGGCAATGTTATTTTGGACAATTAATGACTTTCTTACATACGATATGCTTTCAGGTTGGAGCACTTCAGGTAAATTAGCTTGTCCATACTACATAAAATTTGCTAAGTCGCTCACCTTAAAGTATAGAGTCAGTAACACTTGGTTCAACTATTACCGCATATTCTTACCTATAAATCATCCATTCATGAAAAATAATGATGCTTTCACTCAAAATAAAAAGATGACGAAGCAACCTCTATGGAGATTAACCAGCGAGCAAATATTTGAAAGAATAAGATTTATGCTCATAATCACTGATTATCCAACACTAGTTGATTATAAATTATCATGGTATGATGTCAATCATAATTGGACAAAAAAGAGCATTTTTTGTCCTTGTTATATTGAAAAATAAATTCGATGAGACATAATTTAGATATGATGCATATAGAAAAAATATTTTTTATAATGTGTTCTATACCATCATGAAAATTAAAAATAAATATAAGTATAATATAAAAATAAGGATGTACTTATAGGAGATTTGCAAGAGGAAAAACCTAGAGTTGAAGGATGATGGAAATGAAAAACTTCAAAAATCAAAAGTTTCATTCAGTTTGGCTTTAGAGTAGAGATGAGCAGTTTGTGAATGGGTGCTGTGAAACCCTCTTTTTTTTTTTACCTATAATAGTAAATAATTATTTCAAGGGTCATTATACTTTCAAATCACAATCCATCTTCGTTAGAACTTATATAATGTAGTGTTTTAATTACCATAATTTTTTTCATGATTTTTGGGCACTAGTGAAATTTCTTAAAAAAATTGGCACATGTTGGTATAAGTGAAAATTTTTGCTACTCATAGATGTCTAATTTGCAAACCGATTTTATCAACATATTTCATACATGATTTAGCTAATTTATGAATATTTTTCTATAATTTTTAAATTTTTTATTTAAAAATATAAAATAATTAAATTAAATTAATATTTTAATAAAATTTATTATAAAAAATCATAATCCTCTAATCTATTATAAGAAGCATTTCATTTTCATTTTTCTTAACAAAGAACAAAAAATATTCAAATTAATATAAATAAACTCATCTACAAGATTTTTTTCATTTCATCAAAATATATCTACGTTACAGTACATAGCTTCAACTATAAACTAAATAATAAACTAGCCATGACTGTAAAAATCAATAAAAGAAATACCTATCAACTCCCATTAGATCATGAACTTCTAATCAATAGGGTCCTTCCTTTTCCCAAATCTTAAAAATTAGAAGCAAAATCATTATGAACTACAACTGCTCAGTAGACCATATAAAGTGATCTAAAATTTCAATTTCCTTTATAAAACATTTTTTTAGGATATTTAAAGCAGTTAAATGTAATATAATAAATCAATGTACTGAGAAAGATAATAAGAGCATATCAATTATCCAAATATTTAAATAATAATATTGAACAATTGATTAAACTAAAATTCATATCACAGAATAACACAACAATTTTCTTTTTTCAGATCTAGATAAAATATTAAAGGATTCTGACTCCTTATGATTTTCTTTTATATTTATAGCATCATAACATGCCCGTAGGCACTAGAATATGGCTTATAGCCACCTGAACGTGACTTTTTAAGCACCAAAACATGCCTTATAAGCATCAGATTCTCGATCACATATAGAATTTCAAATGATTATGACCTCTTATATCTTGTAGCAGTCATAATTCAATCACATAAGCACATACTTCATCACAGTATAGCAATTAAAGTATAAAAGTTCATATCAAATTTACACAGTTTTCTATAATGATAGCTAACATAATTTTTTACTGAAAATTTTCCAATTTCAAAACATAACCAAATTAACAAAGATTGTGTAAAGCATCATTTGAAGACTTTAATTGTGCTACAACATTATTTTTCATTCAATTAAAACCACACAAGTTCAAAAATACCCAATATAAAATTTTTCAAAAAATATTAAAAACGATCTAATCTCAATCTCTATAATATATAAAAAGTTACGAGGTGAAAAATTTGCCGGTGCAAACTTATCCACATTTTCAGAAAAAAAAGAAATTTAATTAAAGATTTTTTTTTTTAAAGTTGTAGTTTTGAAAATTGAAATAAACATAATGTAACTTACCTTAATTCGACAACTTTTTCATTTGGTTCGACAACTAAGGCGGCTCAAAATCCCTTCTTTCCTCTTCAAAACCTTTCTCTTTCTCACTCAAAACCTTTCTCTTTCTCTCTCCTCGTGATTGGCTACATCACTCAAATGAACGGAATCGTGGATTGTATTTTAATTTAAAGTGTTGGTAGTGGCTTAGCGTTATGACTCTGCCACCCAGCGCTGCGAGACTAGTTCAAAAATTCATTTTTCCGAGGCTTTAGAGTTGAAATGCCACAATTTCAACATTTAGGCGCATAATGCAGCGCTACGATGCTCGGACACCTGACATTGGGCTGCTCTAAAAGTGAAATTTTTAGATTTTGTCAAAATTCACTCTAAACACTTGACTCATTCTAGAACACATGCAACCTTTTTCAAGCTTTAAAATATTTTCAAACATGCAAATGAGTTCAAATAATAAAAAAAGAAATAGGATACATGCCTTCCAGTCGCATTATTTGAATAGAACTTTGAATCTATAGGTCTAACAATATTAGTTGTATTAACAAATGAGGCGTGGTATTTAAAATAAGTCCCTCATAAGCCTTTAGAATTGATCAATAATGATTAGGAAGACTCGAAATAGAGATCATAAAGACACCAATGATTAGGATGAGTATCAATAGTTATTGATAAAATAGTTTTGTGGAGGCCCACAAAAACATTAATGAAGGCCAATAAAGGAGTTAGCGAAGTCCTATTAAGTATTTGCAGATGTCTATCAATAATTCAAATTAAAGCCCAAAATCTCTGCTTATTTATGTAGCCATGTAAACATTTATGGAGGCTCGCAAAGTTAGCAAAGGCTTGTAAGCCAAATTAGAGACCCATAAATCTTATATATGGAAATTTAATATTTAGAATAATTTTTCATAAACGTGTTTATGCAAACTTTGAACATATTATACTTCAAATAAATTTAGGAACTACATAAAAATATATAAATTAATTTACAACAATATTTTATTTTGCATATATATATATATATAAAGATAAAATATAATTTACATGGCATAATAAAGTATTAATTTGTTAAATCAATCCTTTAATGATTTTCTTGCTTGAAAATCTTATTTATGCTTCTCATGTATATCAAAAGAAAGGATTCATTTTAGTTAGCGAGAGAGTTTGATGGAAGAACATGCTCAATTATACTATAATGGCATACCTCGGCTAAATAGGGTATCGTACGAGAAAAGGGCTTAACTACATGGGTTTAACTACCCAGGACTTATGTTAAATCTAAGGGTCTTAAGTAACTAAGGCATAAATCCAATACAATATCAAAAGTTTGGTCAAGAGAAGACAAGGGCTCAAGATGGCTCAATTTCTCTTCACATGACTGTCAGGATCCATTAAAGCTAATGGTCCAAAAGTATAAAAAAAATTTCAAAAATTTCTAGATGCTAAGTCCATTAGGTGCTAAGGCCATCTAGGAAATGTCACTCTTAAGGATGTACAGTCAGAAGGACGTCAGGATTATATGACAAAGTATACGGTTTCTATGGCTAAGATCAATCTTGGTCTCAAGGGAAACAACGTTAAGTTAAGCTATCTTAGAGTTTCAATAAGTTCTATTGGGTCAATAATGTCTACATTGTAGTGGTTTGGTAAATATGCATGTCATAGGTCCATAGGATAAACCTCATATGTCCAAATATTATTAAGACACTTAAGTCTTTAGCAACTTTAAGTCGTTCTAAATTGATTTTATATCAATTAAATCATGAAATATAAATTAAATAAATAAATAAATAAGGATATTTACATACACACCACATAATTTTTAATATATTTAAATATATAAGACTTAATTTTGATGTTTACATACATAACATGAAAATATTTAAAAATACATCAAATTTATATTAATTTTATTTATTTTAAATTTAAATATATATTTTATGCATAATTTTTGATATGATTGAAATATTAAAATTTTGATATTAGATGTAAATATATAAGAATTATTTGATATCTATATAAATTTTCAAATAAAAATATCCCAAACGGTCATTTGATTAAACAAATAAAATAAGATATATCAATCTCAATAGGTTTAGGTTTTGTTTGAGATGGTTTTTTTTTATTATTTTTTAAAATAATTTTTTAAATACAATTTTTATTTTTTATATTAAAAAATTATATTAAGAAGCAGAAAAAAAAGCCGTCTCAGTCTCAAAGGGAGCGTCAAGCCCGAACCTGACCCGACCAGCCATCGTCGGGCTCAGTCTCCCATTTGCACTTCGTTTGGAATGGGTTACTCCTGTATATAAAACGAACTATTGTAGGTGATGCCCTAGGCTCGAGCAAAACTCCCTTCTTTTCCAGTACGCAGCTAGCGCTTATCCGTCTTCTTGCTGCCATCTGAACGGTAGAGAACTCGGGCGGCGGGCTGTTCCATCCTTTTTTCGCACCTGAAAGATAATCAAAGCGAACTGCTTTTTGGTTCTTTTGCGCTTCTCCCTTCTTCTACGCCTGATCGATTTCTTTCTCGGGTATGGTGTTCTCGCCTTGTTTTTTTTTTATGGTTTTGAACTGTTTTTCTCATTCTCCGCGTAATTCGTCCCCTACCGCGCCACACACACACACACATACACCCAAAATCTCCGCTAAAAATGCTATTTTAGGTGCAGATATGTCAGACGACGAGACGAAGGAGGAGATAGAGCTTGATCTCACGTCCTCTGATGTAGTCACCAAATACAAGAGCGCCGCTGAGATCGTTAACAGTAATGCTTTCACTCTACATGTCTGTTTGGGGCTCATTTGGTTGCTTGCATATATAGTCTATTTTAGAAAATAATGATTTCTTTCACTTCTTTGGGCTTGAAAATAAAATCATTGTAGTTGAGGAAGTTTTGAGTGTTTTTTTAAAATTTGAAATCGTTGTTGGTATCTAGCTACGTCCAACCAAAATAAACTCGCCCTCGTACCCAAAATATATTCCTTTTAAGTGTGCTTAATACTTGGTGTTGTGGTTACCTTTCTGATGTAACAGAGGCTCTTCATTTGGTGGTCTCCGAGTGCAAGCCGAAGGCTAAGATAGTCGACATTTGTGAAAAAGGCGATGCTTTTATTCGGGAGTGAGCGTTTATCTTATTTTTGGTATTAGTTTTTGAAAATTATGCTCACTTGTGTTTGTTAAAAGATTTTTATGCTTGGCCTTTGATACAGGCAAGCAGGAAGTATGTACAAGAATGTGAAGAAAAAAATTGAGAGAGGAGTTGCCTTCCCAACTTGCATTTCTGTGAACAATACTGTCTGCCATTTCTCACCCATGGGTGGTGATGAGACAGTTTTGGAGGAGGATGATGTTGTGAAGATGTAAGATTTGTTAGAATGACTCTCTACAATCTAGTTGCTTCTGTTCGAGCTTATGGAATAAGACTCCATGAGTAGCTGATGTATCACACTTTTGTTTTTGAAGCGATATGGGCTGCCATATAGATGGTTTTATTGCTGTGGTTGCGCATACTCATGTGCTGCATGAAGGACCAGTAGCTGGAAGAGCAGCTGATGTTATTGCTGCTGCAAACACTGCGGCTGAGGTTGCCTTGAGGCTTGTGAGGCCCGGGAAGAAGGTATTGTTAGCTACTGATTTGTGTGTAAAAAACAATATATGTATTGGTTTTCTTTTTTCATGTTTAAGAAGCTAGTTAGCTTGTATGCTCTGCATGATTTTGGGGAGTTTCTGTTCCCTTTTAGCAAGAATGAACGTTACCAAATTAGTTTTTAGTAGATCCTGATGTAACCTTTCTGACAATGGCAGTGATCTTTCTATTTGTTTAAAGTATTTGCCAATTTTAGTGTGTGATAGTTCTGTATTGTTGGATTCTTAAAAAAATGTTATTTCCATAAATAAGTTTTATCCTAATAAGTTATCAATTCAAAATCCATTGAATTTGTATGAAGCCTTTTTGTTTTCATCTAGTTTCTGAAAGTTCAGGTGTACCTAGTGCATGAAATGCCTTGTAAATGCAATGTTTGGGGAGGGGTTAATATTTGCAATCTTACCTTTGCATTTACCAAGAGGTGATTTGGCACCTTGAACCTGGAAACTTTAATGATGTTTCTTTATTGTTTGTTTATTGGGGCCTTTATATACATACCATAAAATTCTTGTATTTTTATATCTTACACCTAAATCTTTATATTTATTTATATAAAATTTAAATATCTAAATCCCATAAAAAATACCACTAATATAAACTTATTTGAAGTAAAACATGTGTTGTCATGCTTATGTTTTGATGTGATTTAGACACTAGAATGATATTTAGGTAAATATAAAGATTTTTGTATTAGATATGTATATTCATAGAATTTTGTTGTATGTATATAGATTCCCATTTTGTATTTTTTACCATTCATAATTTTAAGTTTCGTTATGAATGAATTAGATGATTTAATCACCAAATATGTTTTGAGTCATTCTCTTCATTTTAACCTTGTTGCTTCATTTGAATGATGTCCTAAATGATGATTTTTTTCTTTCAAAGCTATGGATTTGTGTCCAAGTGATGCTTTGTTGTCATAGTTACTCTGATGGGGCTTCATTGTTATTCTTTAAGATCTTCTTGGTTTGATTTCTTTACATTTGTTTGATGTGAGTTTTCAGTTTTTCACTTGTTTTCTTCATCGAAAGGTTTATTTTGGGGTTGAAGTTTATTACTGAAGGATGAGTTTATTTTTTTAAGTTATTGGTGAACATGTATGTGAGCTCAAATTCATGTTACTTAAAAAAAGATATTCTTGCCCTATATTGTTTTTTAGACTTCAAATATTCAAAGGTCCATTCACCTATTTTACTAACTTGAACTCTTTGAGCTGTACTTTTGTAATTATTTGTATTTTTCTATATGAATATGCATCTTTGTATTAAGCTAGTCACGGAAGGATTGCTTTTGTTTAGCAACTTTTGGTTAAGCAACTAATTTCTTTCTTTATCCAAAATTTTGCTTGTTTCATACCTATTTTTCTCACTAACTTCTCATTTTTCTTTACTAATGTAAAAATGTATTGAAGTGCATAAATTTACTTGAGTTACTAGAAAGTGTTTTCTGTCTTTTTCAGCACTTTTCAATTGAAAAGTTAGAATGAAGGAGGAACTTTTGGAATGTAAGGAGATGTGGGATTGGTTAACTAAAGGCTGTATCAGTTTTACTTCAAATGGAGGAACTTTTGGCTAATCCATAATTTATAGTTGTTTGTTAATGCTCTTTGAAAATTATACAACAACACCAAGCCTTTATCCCACTATGTAGGGTCGGCTATATGAATCTTTTTTCTCCATTGTGTCCTATTAAAAGTCAAACGTTTTAATCTAATAAAGAAAGACCATTTCTAAAAATTATGTGATACTTATTTTTTGTTGGTTTAAGTATATCAGATCAGTTATGCAAAGAAGTATGAATATATATGAGGATCTAGCTTCAATGATTAAATCCTATATTTTGAATGGAGAAGTGACAAGAGATTATTATGGAGATTTAAATGCAATTTAAGATAAAGCAATTATGCTTTAAGGGTTCGAGTGTTGGAAACTTTAATTTATTTGAGAACTACGTTGGGTGTGGCATAAATGTTAAGATGGATGATAAACTTGGTAAGTGTAGAGTGATAAATGCATATATTAGAGGATGGTAGGTGTATTACTTATGTCCTCTGCCTTACACTAATTTAGTTTATTTTGTATTTTCTCTTAGTATTGTTTGGAGGGATATGCTGAAGATAATATGCATAGAACTTTTGTAGAAATACACTCAAAATTATCTCTTAATGCAACACCCATTGCATCATTCAATAGGGATAGTGAGATTTGTATCTATAAAGATGAATCCAAATATTGGAATTAGATTTAAATTATATCTTATTTTTTGTACTATTGATCTTTTTCATCTGGCTGTTTGCTCTTGTTTTCTCAATAACTTTGCTCTATATTGGAGTGCTTATTAGTCTCCCCTTTTAGAAGACAAATCATGGTTTCTTTGCCGGGTTGAAACTTTCCTCCCCCCTTAGGGTCTCTTTGAAGCTATTTTTTTACTATGTTGTTTTCAGACTACAGGAAACTTCCTTTAGCTACTTTTTTCGCTGTTTTTTTTATAAATTTCTATGGTAGGAAGCTTATTTTTGCAGTCATATTTAGTATTGTGTGGCCGCTGTAAGAAAATTATTGTTCAACTTTATATATATATATATATATATATATAAATAATAAATTTAAAAATTTATTTTCTCCGTAACAATTTTATAATTCTTTTTACAAAAAATTGCAGTCGATGATGTTTTATATCTGCTGGAGATATATTTCAGCACCTGGACATAAACTTCATCTTTCCACTTATATTTGATGTGGCAGGTCCTGGGTGCTATGGGATGTCACGTTAGGATTCTCATTTTTAAGAATAGCATTCTCTGGAGTCTTGGATTTTGTTGCTATTATTCCTCTGTTATAGAAACTTTGGGTGGATTCCCATTTTAATTTCTATCAGTTGTTTTTCATAACTGGCGGCTGTGCTCCACATACACCAATTGAACTTTGAATACCAAACAATGGAAATTTGGCAACTTTGCCGAGGGAACTATTTACTAATTGGGACCCTCTTTTCCCTGTTGCCTACACAATTCCTGGCTATGATAAAGATAATATGGAACTTCTTATCCATTATTATTGAGACTATTCTTTGCCAATATTCAATGAAATGATATGCCTTTCTTGTTCCTTTGTTATTGAAATTGCGTGCATTTGCACAATCATTTCCTTTTATGCATAGAAATAGTATTCTGTTGGTATCTGTGGAGTTTTTTTCTTCCATCAACGGGTGGGAACCAAGAAGTTGAGCTTCTTCCACAGCTTGTTTCTCTAGCATGACTGTTAAATTTCTATTATTTGCTCTGTTACATTAGTTTTTGGTTGGTTCCCATTTTTAATTATTTATGTTTTGCATCTGATGGTTGTCATGACATGTGCTAATTGATTAAAGTTTTAAAAACCACATTGGAGTAATGGCAACTTTGCCGAGGCGACCATTTATTGTGGCCTCCTCTTTTCCCTGTTGCCTACATTCTTGGCTTTGACCAAAAGGTGATGGAGTTTTCTTATCCATCATTGTTGAGACAATTCTTTGCCAATATTCTATGACACAATACATGATTTTTTGTTGGCATCATTTTATTTTTTGAAAGAAATGAATTTTTGTATTATTGTTGTTATTCTTCTTCCATCTATGACAGTCCTAGGTATCTGAGTTTCTTGAAAATAACTATTGCTTATTTTAATTTTAGATTATGTACTAAATTGAATTGTTTCTGGAGGAACACAATTTAAAAAATGCAAAGTTTCTAGTAGATGATTTGTGATATCTTTCAAATTCATTGCCACATTTGTGTAAATTGTTTTATCCACATTTGTGTAAATTGTTTTGTCCACGTTCCAAATTCATTGCCACATGATTTTTGCTCTTCCCTTAAACAAGATTGTACATGTGAACAGTTTACAAACTCTTTTAGATTTTGTTTGGGACAACTTTTTTTGTTACTTCTTAAAGCAGTTTTTTAGTTTAAAAATTAAAAAATTTATACTAGAAAGTTGCTTTAAGAAGCAACAAGAAAGTCGTCCCAAACAAAGCCTTAGTTTCCTGCTATCATTTGATCATGATACTTTAGTTATCCGTCCATCCCTTATTGCTATTATCAATTCCATTTCATAGTTATGATTTAATGAACTTGTATCTTTGGGCATATGTTGTTTTTTATTCTTTTTACAGTGGGATATCATCTTTGAAATTCATTACAGAAATGAAATTTACATTGAGTTCAACTTTTAGCTTTTCTGACTGAAAGCATTCTGTGAAGTTTTTGATCTGATAATTTTATATTATTTTTTGGTGGATTTCTTTTTTAATTTGTTCTTTGTTTATCCTTCAAACCTGATGGTTATGCATGACATTTTAATTGATTAAGCTTTTTGAGTTTTAGAAGATGCAATTATGACAACTTTGCCAAGGTTATTATTTTTTACTTTGGCCTCCTCTTTTCCCTGTGCCTACATTCTTGGCCTTGATGAACATAATAGGTAGTTTTATATATATATTATTGAGGCCATCCTTTGCCAATATTTTAACAATACATATTCTCGAAAAAGATTACATCAAGGATCAGCTCTAAGCTCATATCTTTTTGCTTTAGTCATGGATGTTCTTACTAGACATTTGTGAGATGATGTACCCTGATGTATGCTTTTTGTTGATAATATTCTTGTTGGTAAGACGAGTGAGAGTTGAAGAAAAACTTGAATTATGGAGTTCAACATTAGAGTCAAAATATTTTTGTCTAAGTAGATCCGAAACCAAATACATGAAGTGTAATTTTAGTGGTAATAGATCTAGTGGGGGATTGTGAATATAGGCAATCAAGTCATTAAAAAGAGTACATATTTTAGATATCTTGGATCTATCGTTCAAAGTGATGGTGAAATAGATTGGGATATTATTAGTAGAATTCAATTTGGTTGGTCAAAACGGAGGAATGTATCGGTCCTATTGTGTTATAGAAAAGTACCCCAGTGTTTTTCATATGTAATTTTATATTTCATTTTATTTAGCTAAAACACTTAATTTGTTAAGTACTCCAGCAATTCATTTATCTGTTTCTTTTGAAGAATGTGTCAGAAGCAGCCTTTAACGAAAATTATTACCATAATTATCCTGCTATTACAGAACAAGGATGTCACAGAAGCTATTCAAAAGGTTGCAGCTGCCTATGATTGCAAGGTTGTTGAAGGTGTCCTTAGTCATCAGCTGAAGCAGTATGTGATTGATGGAAACAAAGTAGTTTTAAGTGTGGGAAATCCTGAAACCAGAGTTGATGATGCAGAATTTGAGGAAAATGAAGTATATGCTGTAGATATAGTCATTAGTACTGGTGATGGTAAGGTAAGAACTTGGATTTAAGTATACTTCATTGCATTTAGATTGTCCAAGTCGTCTCTTTAACTTATCTTATTCTGCTTAAAATTTATCATATAGCCAAAACTGTTGGATGAAAAGCAAACAACTATTTACAAGAGAGCTGTGGACAAGAATTATCATTTGAAGATGAAGGCATCGAGGTTCATATTTAGTGAAATAAGCCAGAAGTTTCCAATCATGCCATTTAGTGCAAGGTTTGTTTTCCCATGTATATTTTATGCAAACTTTATTGTCTTGATTTGGAGAAATTATTCTGTGCGGACACCAGACGGGAGAACCATCCGGTTTACTCTTAGGTACCGAGCGGTACCGTGGCTCGGTACCAAATGTGTCGCATTTTCATTGGAGTTTGAACTCCGCACAGAATAATTTTTCCTTGAGTTGGGATCAATCAGATCAAATTCATACGATTGTGAAAGGTTGGATAATCCAATTTCTAGAAAAAAACTTACTCATAGTTGTTTCTGTTTCATCATAAATCACGTAAAAGGCTAAAGTTTTATTTATGTACCAGGGCATTGGAAGAGAAGAGGGCTCGGCTTGGTCTGGTCGAATGTGTAAACCATGATCTTTTGCAGCCATATCCTGTTCTCCATGAGAAGCCTGGTTAGTACTGTTGTTTTCAGTAATGTCGATATGCTGATATCCAATCAAATTTAGGTTTTTCATGATGAAGATGAAAGGAAAAGATGATGGTAGAAATATGAAGAAAATCTTGGTACATAATTAAAGCTATCCTATCACATATTGAAGGCCTTTCTTGATACGAATTATAAGAGGAAGAAAGAGACATCGAATACCAAAATTGAGAAACTTCCAGTTAAGCATCTATAATAATGCTTACAACTTCAATAAAAAACATGAAATAGATATCAAATATCCTTAATAAACTAGATGTTAGTGCTACTCTAAGAAACTAAAGAAAGAAATAAACGCCAACTTCATCAAAGTCCCAATAAGGTTTTATTTGGGACTGCTTTCTTACTGCTTCTTAAAGCAGCTTTTTAGTACAAAAATTAACTAGTACAAATTTTTTAATTTTTGTACTAAAAAGCTGCTTTAAGAAGCAGTAAGAAAGCCGTCCCAAATAAAACCTAAATGTGACATAAGTAAGAAAATAAGTTTAAAAATGGTAAAAAAAAGTTGAAAAATGGTTAATATCTTTCAGCTTTTCTGCTATCAATAGATATTTGCAGTTTAGAAAAGATGCAATTATAAATGTTTTTTTGCAATGTTGAGTGCTAAAGCATAATTTTAATGTAGCTTAGATTTGATCTCAGGATCTTGGCAATAACTTCCAAAATCTTAATTGGCTTCCACTTGCCAAGTTACTTTTCTATCATCATTTTCTTATGGGAAATGTTTCATTAAACCTTTGTTTGGCAGGTGACCTTGTTGCTCATATTAAGTTCACAGTTTTGCTAATGCCAAATGGTTCGGATAGGATTACTTCCCATCCTGTACAACAGCTCCAACCTACAAAAGGTATTGATAATGATTCTGAAATCAAAACCTGGTTAGCTCTGGGAATAAAAACCAAGAAAAAAGGTGGTGGAAAAAAGAAAAAAGGTATGCTTTTTAATGTTCTTTCCTCCATTTTCTTACATTCTAAATTTTTTCTAGGGTTATATGAATTTGTGTGAAAATGCAATGCGTGATATTGTGCAGGTAAGAAAATTGATAATTTAACTGAAGCTGAGCTCATGGATGAAGATACCGCAAATGGCGCTGCTGCTCAGGAATGAGAAAGCAGCATTTTTGACTCTTTTGTTTTATTGCTGTTTGCTCTCCAAGTCTCCATATTAGTTTTATGTATTACATCTGGGAAATATTGTGCACAGAATTGGTATGAGAAAATTTGGTTTTTTTTAAAATGGAAATGGTGAGGGTAAAAATTATTTGATTTGGTATAATGAGTGGCCCATCTTAGTATGAGTTGAATATTTTCTTTTCAATTTGTTATGGAACAAGTTGATTTGTTCATAAATACTTTTAGCTGTTGTTCTATATTTTTGGGGGTAATAGGGTCCTTGTTAGATACTCACGCTCTACATGGGCGGGCTTTGCCCATTTATGTCCACCCATGATGATTTTCAAGATGTTGTACCCGCCCATACCCAACCATTTTTCATGCTTTTTGAACGCAACACCTTTAGATTTGTTGTCATTTACTATGATTGCAAACTTTCAAGCTACATATCGGAATTTATTGTGGTCACAACACGGTTCAGTGCTGTACACTGCATAATGAGGATTGTGGTAGTATATGACATATGATGATCATCAATGTAAATCGATTTATCTCCTGATGTTGAGTACCCATTCATACTCGTACCCACACATGAGATTATGGACATACTCAGATCCACTCGTACCCGTTGGGTATGTATGAGTATGTGGGGGGGTGTGGATATCAATATCCAATGCAAGGCTTTGATAATGACAAGGTATTAATAGGGTAATATAACACTTTGGTAGTAAAAAATAATTCTTGTGAGCTCTTTGATACTCCTTTTGGTCTTAGTGAAGGAAATTTATAGTTTAATATTGTTTCAACATAAGAGATAATTCTGTGTTTTGCTTCTCTTTAGAATATGGCAAGCATTTATCAAATGCATGAATTTAGATGTTTTGAAATTTGGTTTATGTCCTGTAATGAATGTTCTAGTTGATGACTGAGCTGTTTTTGCTGGCTTTATTGTTAGTGCTTTTTGTATTTATTTAAAAAGTTTTTAATATGTAGCTCATTGGTAACTTAAAATTATAAATATGGATTGAAAGTCTTAAAAAATTTGTTTAGGTGTTTGGTCTTAAATAAAATAATAAAGATTTACTCTGAAATTTGACAAATAAATAGACATGCAAGAGAAATTTTAATTTAGAGGTCTATTATATAATTAAAAAAATTTGAACTTATAGAGGGGTTCAAATTAGCAAATAATTTTATCATTACATTTTTAATCATAAAATAAAAATAAAAAAAGATTTTCATGATGTTTTTTATAAAATTCTCATCATGCTAAGAAAGTATAAAAAAATTTGAAGTAAACATATGAAGATTGACTCCAACGAAAAGGGTGACTTTATTTAAGTACAATGATAAAGAAATATCTATCAAAAACTCTAATTACATTTAATAAAAGAAACAAAATATATATTCTTGAAACAACTCATAATGAAATCAAATAACAAATAAAAGGACAATAAAAAAAATTTCTTATTCAAATCAACATAATTTTTTTATAAGATAATTAAAAAGCTTGAGTGAAAACTTGAAGAAGCTTACACCTCCCTAACATTTGCATCAAGAACACCAAAATCAATGAAAATTTGAAAAAAAAAAGGTCAAGAATAATTTCTTATAGAATAGGTCTACAATTTCTTAATTGATGCTTAATCGATGAAAATTAATTTCATCCTAGACAATGAATTGACTGTCTGAACAACTCTCTAACCTTGCGAGCAGATTTAACTTCAATATTTAAGATTTTATTTGGGACATCTTTCTTCATATTTTTTAAATTAGTGTTTTAGTACAAAAAATTTTTGAATTAAAATTTTTTTAATTTATAAAATAGTAAGAAAGCTATCCCAAACTAAGCCTAAATCTTGAACTTATTAGTGCAAGTTGTTGATAACTTTTTTGACACTAATAGGGTAGTTTTTAAATGCTTTTAGTATATCTATCAAATGAGTAATCTATGTTCTCTTCACATCAATATAAACTCTAAGTATAATGACAACAACAACAACATCAAGCCTTTATCCCACTACGTGGGGTATGCTACATGAATACTTTTTCTCCATTGTGTCATATTAAAAGTCAAATTCTCATTTAAATCTAATAAAGAAAGGTCATTCCTAATATTTTCTAACCAAGTCTTTTTAGGTCTACCCCTACCTTTCTTAACATAAGTCAAATCTAATACATCTACTCATATATATATATAAGCCTATCGCTGCATAGATCATATTTATCTTTGCAATATTGTGTGTCGAATCCATAATTACTGTAGAATAGAGACTCAAACACAACAACAATATTTTCTGGCCTTGAAGTGGTCTCAAACCTAACACCGAAACTTTATAAGTATAACGTCAAAGTGCTTCAATTAAAAAAAAAATAAATCATATTTTAAAATACTTTACATTTTTTAGTTTTTACACTATTAGTGAAGCATCAAAGTATGAAAAGAGGGATCTACTATTAGTAGTTTAAAGAGCATTTTTTGTGCCCATTGGAGGCAAACATTTTATGCTCAAGAGATCTATATCAATATTGGTTTTAAAGATTAGGATATGACCAATTTAAATGTTTGAAACAAAGGGGCTCTTTGGTAGCAGGATTTGAGGCGCATTCAAGCGAAATCTAGCCAAACGGTCTAAAATATAAAGTTAAATCTCATGGTAAATGAAAGCCACAGTAGATGAAAAATTACCCCTTTTTGTGGTACATCTCGGATTTTCGAAACCCTCTGATTTGGTTGAATTAACGCTCTATTGACATGAGATAGAAGAAGAGTCGGCTTGTTTTAAGATTTAACGCTCTATAGTCAAACAATCACACATGATTTAACATGATTTATCATGAATGTTTCCAAACAGTTTTTAGGATTTACGAAATCCTAGTTAAATGAAATCTTGGGTGCTACCAAACAATCCCAAAGTGTTGGATATACCTTCAAGGGTGCCTGCTTTTTTCTCCTTAAAAAGCAATAAGGGATGGATGTTTCGAGCACTATAAAATATCCTTTAAACCAAGATAAAGTCAACTTGAGTCAAGTTGACTGAAAAGTCAAATAAAACAACTTGAGATAAGCACATTAGAAGAGTCATAAAGAACTACATAAGCATATTAGAAAAGGAGAAAAGGAGAAAAGGAGGGTTGGGGGGTGGGGTATGGAGGGAAGAGAGAGAGAGTGAGAGAGAAATTATTTTACAAATAAATAAACATGCAATAGAAATTTTAAGTCCTTAGAGGCCTATTATATATTAAAAAAAATTGAACTTATAGAGGAGGTCAAATTAGCAAATCATTTTATAATTAGAATTTAAATATTAAAAGATTAAAAATAAGATTTTTATGATGTTTTTTTATAAAATTATCATCATGCTAAGAAAATATAAAAAAATTTGAAGTGAACATACGAAGATTGACTCCAAAGAAAAGGTTGGCTTTATTTAGGTACAATGATAAAGAAAGATCTATCTAAAACTCTTATTACATTTAATAAAAGAAACAAAATATTTATTCTTGAAACAACTCATAATGAATTCAAATAACAAATAAAAGAACAATAAAAAAAAAATTCTTATTCAAATCAACATAATTTTTTTTATAAGATAATTAAAAGCTTGAGTGGCACCTTGAAGAAGCTTACACCTCCCTAACATTTGCATCAAGAACACCAAAATCAATGAAAATTTGAAAAAAAAAAAAAAAAAACATGGTCAAGAATAATTTCTTATAGAATAGATCTACAATTTCTTAATTGATGCTTAATCAATGAAAATTAATTTCATCCTAGACAATGAATTGACTGTCTGAACAACTCTCTAACCTTACGAGCAGATTTAACTTCAATATTTAAGATTTTGTTTGGGGTATCTTTCTTCCTATTTTTTAAATTAGTGTTTTAGTACAAAAGTTTTTTGAATTACAAATTTTTGAATTTATAAAATAGTAAGAAAACTGTGCCAAACTAAGCCTAAATCTTGAAATTATTGGTGCAAGTTGTTGATAACTTTTTTGACACTAATAGGGTAGTTTTTAAATGCTTTTAGTATATCTATCAAATGAGTAATCTATGTTCTCTTCACATCAATATAAACTCTAAGTATAATGAGCTGATCCAAAAAGTCGACACTATATGATGCATTATTAAGTTTAAGTCATCATTAGAATTTATCTTGGTCATAGGAGGAGGAATTTGCATGATGAATCTGAGGAAGAAGATGTATAACAAAGCAATGAAAATTTTTATAAGACCTTTGTTAGGTTGGTATTTATATTTTTTTCATTGATGTTGATGTATATAAAAACAAAGTTAAATCCATGTAACTTATCAAAATTGATGTGATATCTCCTTAGAATTAGATTTTTATTCTTTTTTCTTTTATAATTATCTTCAAAGAGGTACTATAATCTATGAACTAATGGACACCTAATTCATCCTAGGCTAAGTTAGACTAGTCACATTAATCATAATTTAAAAGAAATATGATATTATATGATGTGATATTATATATATTTGGGCTGAGAGCCATTTTGATGAAATAAATAAATATGAAGTTCAGTTTCAGCTTTTGCTTCAGTTTCAATTTAAGTACAGTACTTCAATTTATTTTTATAGCATAGTATTTTAATTTCTTTCAGCTTAAGTTGTTGATATTTATTTTAGGCTATGATAGACTACTGAGCCATATTAGCTCACTCTTACTTTTACTTTCAAGTTCAGGCTAGAGAAAGAGTTAGGAACTAGTTAAGTAGTTTTGGATAGCAGTCTTTGATATATGATGTTGGTATGTTTGGTTAGTTTTATTTTTGATAGGCTTGACTTTTATTTTTATTATTTCTCTTTCGCCAAGTGCTATTGTAGAGAGATATTAGATTGTATATGTATTTTTGGATGACATATAAAAAAAAAATTATATTTGAGATTCAATAATCTTCCACTTGATTTGTATTCAGTAGGAGCTTTGTGTTATGTATACTTTAGAAGTTTTGTTTCAGTGCTTTTCTAATCAGATCTTTGAGTCAGTCTTGCTGCAATAAGACACATCATGACCTATGTATAATAATGGGTCATATCAGGTTATATCGAGTCGGGTTGTGACAAGAGGATAGTTACTTATAACTATTAGAATAATTTTTACATCAAAGCGGTGGACAAAAAAAAGGCTCTCTCTCCTTTCTCTTTTTCCTCTCCCTTCTCTCTTTCCTTCCTCGACAAGTTTCTGCCAAACGAGGGAGGTGACAATGCTGAAATACTTTAATGCTTAGGTTTAGAATAAAAAATATATATAAATACTGTTAGTAGCCTAGTGCCACATCGATCAGACCCATCTTTGCAACTCTGCATGTCAAATCCAGAATTACTGTATAATAGAGACTCAAATACTGCAACAGCATTTTCTGGCACTATTGTGCACTCAATCCTTGCGCCGAAACTTCACAAGTACAACGTCGAAGCACTTTAGCTACAAAAATTTAAAAATTCATATCTTAAAATACTTTTCATTTAGGATTTGTTACACTATTAGTGGAGGAGCATCGAAGCATAGAAAGAGGGATATACATTGCCTATCTAGGGCTTCATCATATTGGATATTGCAAAAGGGGAATTACACACCACCTAAATAAGATAATTAAAAATATTTCTGAAGAGGAAAAAGTTGAAGCCTAAAATGAGAGAATTAAGAGAAGAATTATATATATAAGATGTAGCTTGAAAAGGGCGTAGGGTTAGGCATAAGTTGGAGTTGGCAAACACTAGTGATAGTATGCTCAATGTGACCAATCTAATTCAATTATTTTTTTTGGCCCAATTAAGTCAAATCTAATATTTATAATCCCTTAGGGATCATTTTTCAATATTTAGAACTCAAGTTTAGTACTTTCAAATCCTCACAAAGTTTTTGTAGTCAATTCCATGCATTTTTGAGTGGTTCGGAGTGAAATTCCTCAATAATACTAACTATCATATCACCGATTTTATGAAAGACTAAAATAATAAATGTGGGATTTTATTTGGCTCACAACCCTGGAGAATATCTACATTGATGTCTAGGGAGCGATCGCCCCCTCAAAAAATTTTTTTTTAAATTATAATTTTGTTCCACGAAAATTTATAAATAGTTAACGTACATTTTAAGATGATATAAGATTTGATGTCCAAAAATAGGGGGCATTGATTCATCATCAAGAATCATCTTGTTTTGGCATAAATCTCAATGCATATTTGAATTGGAAGCATATGAAATTAAATTCAGGATTATGTAGATTCCAATCTCAATGTATTTTTAAACTGAATGTGTCGATGATATGAACTTGTTGAAGCCACTAATGATCTGATCCAACTATAGATAAGCCAAATCAAGCATTTAAATCATAATAAGAAAATTTTAGATAATAATTAGAAGACCGAGAGGTTTTCAAATCTTGCATTCTTCTAGTTAATTTGAGCATCTTGATGATATGAATCTAATGAGCAAAATCATCTAAGTCCAACATTATTAAGGAATTAGAGCTCAAGTATTTAAAAAAGAACCCCATTGTATTACTTGATGATCATTGTCGATAACCAACATCAACAACTGCCACCACAATCACCAAACTTTTGTCATTTGATCGTCTTCGCCGTCTTCGCCTAATAACTAACATCTAATTGCTTCATTTGACTTTTATTGTTTGAAAGTGGACATCCCTTATATTATTCTCACTCAATTGACTTTGTATAATCATCTCCAAATTCCATCACTTCTTCTGCAATCTCTAAAATGGAAATCATACAATACTTTTAGCTGTGTAATCCCATCTCATCTTTTTCAGCTATGAAGAAGAGCAGAATCTTGCATTTTTTTATTAAGCAAATCTATCATCTCGTATCTCTGTAAGTACTTTACTGAATATTTATACAAAATTAAACAATTAACCACTCTATCTCTTAATCACCATCAAATTTTAAACACATAAAATTCTTATTAACTTTATTTTCCCGTACTCTTCTCTCCCCAATTTGTTTCTTATTTTGCTAATTTTTATTAATAACAAATTGATGTGATTCATAAATAAATTAAAAGATTGCAATCTTATAACATCTAAGCTACCTAATCTATCCTCAACCATTTTTTTTTTTTACAGATTAGTTATTGCCACCTTGCATAAGAAGTAATCTTGTAAATAAGTAGCATGGTCTGCTTGCAAATAACAGTAATAACCCTGGGGCAAAAATGTCCAAGGAGTCCCCCTGACCGCGTTCGACGAAATTCTAATTAAGCCGCGTGCGATTTTAACTATTCTTCATTTTCATATTCCCGAAAATGCCCCTGGGCTGGGCTGGCTTTAAATAAACCCGACCACAAAATTGACGACACCTGCCGCCTTTGCCCTAAGAGCTCGTAATTTTACCGATTATTATTTTTCCACGTCCTAACTTGCTTTCTCTCTCTTCCGTAGGAGAAGGAGAAAAAATTCGAAATTGGGGGAAAATCCTTGAAACCCTTGTTCTATAATTGGTCGATGATCATTTCGATCCCCTCTTTCAAAGGTGATCTCTTTACTTTGCCCATTTCCTTATACCTTTCTGCATCATTCTGTATGAGCTAATTGCTTAACTAGTTCGATGCCAATCGTAATTTCCATTGTGGCTATTGTATGTGATTCTGTTTCCTTAAATGCCTAAATTGCGATTATGTTTGATGTTTGTTAGTTTGAACTGGAGAGAATTATTTTGCACTGGAGTTTCTGTAGGGTTTCAGCTGTCTAGGATTATTGCTAATAGTTTTTGCTATTCGCTTGATCTAGAATTGAAGTTCCAGTTTGTGTTAGTTGTAATGCATTTTAATTAATTAATTAGCTTAGCTACGCGAAGAAATATTTTTTGGACTTAAATATATGTTCTGGCATTGATTGAAATGGTAAATTCATGGAGTAATAGGTGATATATCAATGGGAATGTTTGAGTGAATGGGAAGGCTTCGTTTCGATATCACTTAGGTTGGACTGTTTAAGCCTTGTTTTACTGTAATGATCTGTCTTTACAACATTTTTTTTAGATTGGTATTTATTTATCTTACCTTTTTTCCCTCCTACTTAACCTGCGGTTTTATGTTCATTGCCCCTAAAGTTCATTTCATATATTCAACATGATTTAAGTGCTTGGCTAAAGAATCATATTTGGTTTTGCAGGTTCTATTGCATTTTCTATTTACTTGGATACTGCATACACTTCCTCTTATGTCCAATGGTTGCTAGCTACATTCATTCACATTTCTTGTTCTCCTACTTATCTGGAATTTTAGTAACCTATATGCTACAGTAAAGCTTTTAAATGGCTGCAAATGGAAGATTTGATTTGTCTTTGAGCAGATCTGATGGGCCTTCTTATGGTACTGGGCAACGAGTACCATATGCTATTGCACCTCTAGAGAAGTCAGGATTTCGTGAGGGTTCAGATCGCATAATTTCATCATCTCATGGCACATCAAAGTCTTGCACCATAACATCCCAAGGAGAGATGACTTGCTTATTGCAGTCTCTTGCTTCTGACCTTAGGGGTGTTGTTCCAGATCCAAAGTTAAATAGGCCTGGAGAGATGAAAAGGGCAATGAGTTCTATTTTTGGAGCATCAACGGAGAACTCTTCATCCTCTACATTTGAAGCAAAGCAATTTGCATCTTCTTCTTTGGAGGGGATTAAGCGTTTAAAGAATAATCTTCAGGAGAGTTCTTCCAAAGCTAGGTATAGCTGGTTTATTCTCTCATCATGTAAATTAAATTAATTAAGGCATTTCTATCTAAAGAAACCTTAAGGAACTTTTACTGTTATTGAAATGCTGATTTTGCTTGTTTATATTCTCATGACTTGATTATGGTTAAAATCTGCTTCTCCTCTTTCCTCTTCTTTATTATTAAAATTTTCCACTGTTTCTTTTTCTTTTTTTCTTTAATAAGGAATGCATTTTTAATTTTTAATTTTTGCTGCTCTTTGAAATCATATGGGTTGGGAACTGAGGTTATAAATGGACGTGTCTCTAGGCCTCCATGTGATGGTTCGTGCAAGACGGCTTATGAAAACTCAACACAGAACGTCTAGTAATCAAAAGGGAATAATTTGTGAAACCCCTTTCACATGTTTTTTTCTGCAAAACTAAGGTTTAGCAATATGGGTTTATGAATGAATGCAACTTGAGCAGGATGTAGGAGTTTGTACTTGTAAGCCTGGAAAATAGAAAGAACTTAACTGAAGTTTTAATTTCTAGTATTCAAAATGGTTCTATTCATGAAGTTCCTTTCACATGTCTGTTTCAGCAGAACTGCATTTGGTGGAAAATTGTTTGTAAGTTGGTTTTGGTGGAAAACTTCTTTCTCTATGTTGGAAATATATTTTTTAATATAGAAAAATAAAAAAATAGATCCCAAACTATTTATGTGTGACCAATTTAGTTCCATAGCATCACGTTGCTCCAATTTATCCCTTGACTACAGAAATTTGATTTAAAATTGACCCTCCTGTTAGTTATTGTGATATAAAATTAATCCCATTTTAATCCTTAGACTAGACAAAATCAACAACAACATGCCTTTATTCAACTACGTGGGGTCGAATTTTGCATAATAGAGAAATTAAATTGGAGCAACATGATAATCTGGGATTAAATTGGCCATATGCAAATAGTTAAGGGTCTATTTTGAAATTTACCGTATTGTTGAAACTGTATTGAATATTGCAGCATATTTGATCCACTTTGGAAGTGAGTTTCATGAATTTGTATTGTGCGCTTCTCAATTTTGCAAACAAATAGATGAATTAGTTAGGAGAGACAATTGCCTAAACTTTTATTATATTAAAGTTAGAATGTGCCTTTACTGTTGCTACAGTCACCTTTCTTCAATCTTGAAGATTAAACTAATAAAAAACAGTATTTCACTATGAACTTATAATCATGTTTGTTTAACTTCCAAGCATGCTTTGCTTTAGTTGAGATGATTTTCACTAACCCTTCTTCGTCCTTAATCACAACTTTTGTTTTTTGTTACTCTTGAATGAGTGACCAAGTAGTGAAGAATATAATTTTTGAAAATTAAATATATTTTAATTCTTGCGCAATTTTCTGTGTGAAAAGTAAATAAATGATAGAATTTACTCTTCAACTTCATTCTTTTGCCCTTTCTTTGATGACACCATGTCTTTGCTATACATAGTCTCACTTATAGATGCAGTAACAAATTTTCCTGTCATATTGCATGCTTGTGTTTAGTAACATCCAACTCATGAGTAATTTTGTTTATTAATAATGAAAATATGATCCATTTATGTTAATTTGAGAGGTACGAGAGGGAAAAAGTTTGAGTTTTATTGCATAAGTTCTTCCCTATATATAGATCTATACAAGATATTTAATAAGGAAATAAATAACTACACAATAATGAAATATAACTCTTCCTAAATCAGCTACCCATCTATTGAAGGTGTTTTAACGTGATTCATGAGCGCTTCCCATGGATTGCTCTCTGTGACCGTCCGATCCTTTGCACAGGGAACGGCTGGATTTCAACACTACCCCTTAAGCTAGGAAATATGGATCTGTCATTCCCATCTTGTCAATCATTCTGAGAAAGGCAGAGCTGTCCAGTCGTTTGGTAAGAACCATGGTTTAAAATTGCGCAATATGATGCTCGCCTTAAGGCCCGCCTTTGCGCAATTCCAGTAAAAAACGCCTCGATGCTTACGCCTCGAGTTTTTTTTTATGAGGCTTGCGCCTCAACTTGGTTGAGGCCCGTCTTAAGGCCCGCCTCGCCTCACTGGCATGAGGCTTATGCCTCACGCTATATATATTAAAACTTACATAAATATTGAAGTAAATGCCCGATATTGGACTCTATAGGAGAGGAGGAAGGGGAGAGAGCAGTTCACCATAATGATGATTCAAATGAAGAACCCCTTAGTGATGACAGTGTTGATGACTTATGAGTTCTTATGTGATATGTCATTGTTATTTATTTTTGGAAATTAGAATTATATGTTAATGAAAAGAATATTGGGATTTGGGAAAGATAGAATTTTAAGTTGAACTATATTTCATGTTGTCTTATTATTGATATATTTTGATTTCACTTCATATCTTATGCTTTTATATATTTTATATCATTCACTCATTAGTGTATAAAAAATTTATCATTTTATATTTACGCAATCTTTTGATATTGAGGCTTACGCCTCGCCTCACGAATGAAAAACGCCTCAATACTCGAATACACAATTTTAAACATTGGTAAGAACGTCTGCAAGTTGATCCTTTGATGATACGTGGTCGATACTTACTAGACCACTGTCTAGTTTTTCTTTAATTAAATGTCTGTCCACTTCTATGTGCTTGGTCCTATCATGCTGGACTGGATTGTGAGCTATGCTGATTGCTGATTTGCTGTCACAATGTAGCTTCATGGGCTCATCCCACTTGACATTTAAGTCTTCTAGGATTATTTTGATCCATAGTAGCTCACATATTCCCAAAGTCATGGCTCGATATTCTGCTTCTGCACTAGATCTTGCCACTACATTCTGTTTCTTGCTTCTCCATGTGATTAGGTTACCTCCAAGAAATGTGCAGTATCCAAAGGTAGATCTTCTATCAACAGGTTATCCTTCATAGTCAGCATTCGTGTATACTTCTAGGATTATTCTGCAATCTCTCTTAAAGAGAATCCTTTTTCCTGGGTTTCCTTTAAGGTAGTGCAATATCCTGCCAACCGCTTGCTTGTGGACCTACTTTGGATTTTGCATAAACTGACTGACCATGCTTACAACAAATGCTATATCTGGTCTAGTGTGGGAAAGATATATTAATTTCCCTACCAGTCTCTGGTAGGCCCCTTTATCCACATTTGTATCCTTTCTAGCTTCCCCCAGTTTAAGATTAGGTTCTACTGGTGTTAGTGTTGGCTTACAAGCTATTTTCTCTATTTCTTTCAGAAGATCTTTAATGTACTTTTGTTGTGAGATGAAGATCCCTTTGCTGGAGTGAGCTACTTTGATTCCAAGAATGTATTTTAGTCTACCAAGTTCTTTGATGTCAAATTCCTTGGTAAGATTTTTCCTTAGACTATCTTTCTCTTTCACATTATTTTCAGTTAAGATAATATCGTCCACATACACTAGCAATATTGTGACTCCCCTTGAGTCTGAATGTTTAAAGAATAATGTATGATCCCCCTGGCTTTGTTTATACTCCTTAATGATCATAAACTTAGAGAACCTTCCAAACCAGGCCCTTGGTGATTGTTTGAGCCCATATAGGGCCTTTTTTAAATTGCACACTTTGTTACCTTTAGATTTTTCCTTGAACCCTGGTGGTATTTCCATGAATATCTCTTCCTCCAGATCTCCTTGTAGGAATGCATTTTTCACATCCAATTGTTACAGATGCCAGTTGTACTTCGCTGCTAGTGAGAGCAGTATTCTGACAGTGTTCATCTTGTCTATAGGTGCAAAGGTTTCTTGATAGTCAATGCCATATGTTTGAGTGTATCCTTTTTCCACTAGTCTTTCCTTATATCTTTCTAGTGTGCCATCAGCTTTGTACTTTACGAAGAATACCTATTTGCATCCGACCGATTTTTTTCTTGTCGGTAGATTGATGATTTCCCATGTTTTGTTCTTTTCTAGAGTCTGCATCTCATCTATCATGACATTTTTCCAATTTTTATCAGATAAGACCTCAGAAATATCTTTAGGAATATGGATATCTTCTAGTGTAATCAAGAAATTTTTATGTGAAGATGATAAGTTGTTGAAGGATATAGAGTTGATTATAGGGTATAAGGGAGGTGGTGAGCTTACCTTATTTCCAGGAGATGGTTCAGATTCTTGGATCTGCTTTGGAGTATAATCTGAATTTGTACTCCTGGAGTATATCTTCCCAAATCTAATGACAACTTTGTCTTTTGTTTCCCTATCCTGATTTTTAGGTGGATTGGTTTGAGGTGGTGGAGGAAGGTCAAGAGGTGTTAGTTCATGTTCCTCATCTTCCCCAATTTAAATCTCCCCCTGAAGATGAGGTTTGAAAAAATAGGAACTTTTTTCATCAAAAGTAATGTCAACAGAAACAAATGTTTTTCTTGTAGGAGGATGATAACACTTGTAACTTTTTGGGTAGCTGAATAGCCAATAAAGATGCATTTAAGTGCTTTTGGATCTAATTTTTCTCTATTTTGGCTGTGGATATGAACGTAGGTTGTGCACCCAAAGATTTTTGGTGTATGGTTATGATGGGTTCGAAATTCGGGGTAAAATGAGGACAAAATTTCCATTGGAGTTTTGAGTCCAAGGGTTGTTGAAGGAAGTCGGTTTATGAGATAAGTTGCAGTTAGAAGAGCTTCTCCCCAATAGGATTTGGGTATATTGTAGTGGAATAGAAAAGCTCGGGTGGAGGCTAGAAGGTGACCATTTTTCCTTTCTGCAACCCCATTTTGTTGTGGCGTGTGAGCACAGGAAGACTCGTGAATGATCCCTTCACTTTGGAAGTAGGAGGAAAGGGTTTGGTTAAAATAGTCTTTGGTATTATCAGAGCGAAATCTCTTTATTTTCACCCTGAATTGATTTTGGATCATGGTATGAAACATGGGAAGAATGGTGCTAACATCTAATTTATTTTTGAGGAGATAGATCCAAGAGACTCTAGTGCAATAATCAATGAATGATACAAACCATCGAGCCCCAGAGATATTGGGGATTTTTGAGGGTCCTCATATATCACTGTGAATAAGGTACAAAGGAGTATCACATCTCTCGTTTTTATTCGGGAAGGAAGTTCTTTTATGTTTGGCTAACTCATAAGTTTCACAATGAAGATTTTTATTTTATAGAAAAAGGTTGAGGATACATATGTCTTAGGACATCAAAAGATGGGTGTCCTAACCTTGATGAAGCCAAATAGTAGAATTTTTATAAACTAAGGATAACATAGAGTAACTATTTTTAGATTGGTTATGTTTTTCCAAGTAGTACAATCCAGCTTTATCCTTAGCAAGTCCAATCTTCTTCCCCGATTTCTGGTTTTGAAATAAGCAATAGGTAGGGTTAAATAACGCTTGACAATTATGATCATTGGTAAGTTTTTGGATGGAAATTAGGTTTGTGGATAATTGAGGTACGTGGAGCACTTTCTTTAGGGTGAGTGAGGGAGATAATGTTATGTCTTATTGGCCTGTTACCGTGGTAAGAGAACTATCGGCGGTGATGATTTTCTTGTTGTTTGGACAAGGAGTATAGTTGATAAAGTGGTTAGGTGAGTTGGTCATATGGTCTGTGGCTCCTGAGTCAATGATCCATAATTCATTTAAATGATTTCTAGAGGCACTTAAACTAATAAAAATCGGAAATTTACCTGAGAGTGCAAGTGAGGAAGATGCATTTGGTTTTTCAAGGGATACCAGGAGTCTTTTCAGTTTATCAATATCTTCTTTATAGAGTTCTCCAAGGCTGGACTGTGCTTCTAGGTGGGCTGACTTGTAGTGTTGTTGGCATGCGACATGCTCCTTGTTTCACCTTTTTGATTCAACTCCTTAATGGGGGTTTTCCATGTATTTTCCAGCACGTTTCTGTAGTGTGTCTTGACTTTTTGCAATAACTACACCAAAGTGAGTCCCTGTCTTTGAATTTTGAAGAATCTTTACTTTTCTCTTTCCATGACGATTCTTTGTTCATCATCATTGCTGAGCTTTCAACGACCTTTGATTCTAACATCACTCCTCGTCGGCTTTCTTCTGCGCGGATGAGAGAAATAGTTTCATTGAGTGATTGCGTTTCCTCTTTGCTGAGAATTTGAACCCTAACTTGGTCAAATTTTGCATTTAGTCCTGCAAGAAAATCATAAACTATATCTTTTTCAATAAAGTTCTTTAGGATCGCAGCATCTTCCGGACATCTGGTTTCTATGCACCTATGATGGTCAAGTTCCTGCCACAGATTTTGTAGAAGGGTGGCATATTCCGTCACGTTCTTACTCCCCTGCTTTGTGCTTCCAACTTTGACTTTAATTTCAAAGATTTGAGTCGTATCACGTGCTTTGGAGGTCTGTCTGGCAGCAGCCCATATGTCCTTTGCAGTCGAAAGGAACATAAATGTATCGTTAATTTCTGGAGTTATGAAATTCCACCACCATGACATAATCATGGAGTCTGCTTCATCCCATGCCCCAAAAATAGGATCTCCTTGTTTTGGTCCTCCTCCAAGAAGATGGTGAATTTTTCCTTTCCCCTTTAAATAGGTCTTCACAAATTGAGAACTCTTTAGTTAGTTCTTTCCATTGTAATGATATGAAGGTTGCATGCTTTGAAGGTCACCTCGTCCTTGGTGCACCATTGACTCCTCAGTTTGGTCAATACTCTGGGAGGAATTGATTTCTGACATTATGATAGTGATTAAGACTATATGTATGTCTGTGGATAGCAACGAAGACTTCCCAAAAAATTTTCCTTGTTCGACAATAAAGGTTGAAATAAGAGTTTTTTTTTCCTTAAGAAGAACCCTTCTCGGCCAAGCCGAGTCTTTAAAAGAAGACTGGGTTTATTTTAAGGTAACTAGGGCACACACGAAGGGACTCAAGCTGGAGCAGCTCGAGCTTGCGGCTTCGCTCCTTCGTGGACTTCCCTTCGTCGACTTGCTACTTCGTCGGCTTCGCTCCTTCGTCGACTTCCCTTTCAGTTGGATCGGAAGCAGCTCGAGCTTTCATCGACTTCCCTTTCGCTCCTTCGACCGTGCCTGGCAGAATCGGAGCATCCGTCTGCGGAAGTAACTGGCGGAACCGAGGCTTCTGTCTGCATCAGCTCTTTGCAAGATCGAGGGCTTCAATTGCGGAATTGGGTTGGCGGCCTTTCTTCTGCGGCAACGTCTTGTCGCATTAGAAGGTTGGATTGTTTGGCGATGAAGACCGGCGGATTGGCTCTGACACCATTTTAATTTGAGAGGTACTAGAGGGAAAAAGCTTGAGTTTTATTGCATAAGTTATTTCCTATATATAGATCTATACAAGATATTTAATAAGGAAACAAATAACTACACAATAATGAAATATAACTCTTCCTAAATCAGCTACCCATCTATGGAAGGTGTTTTAACGTGATTCATGAGCACTTCCCACGGATTGCTCTCTGTGATCGTCCGATACTTTGCACAGGGAACGGCTGGATTTCAACAATTTATAATAAGGTTTGGATTTTTTGATTTAACTTTAGAATCTTTTTAAATATGAGGAGTTGGAGATAATGTGGATTATTTTCTAAAGAGTGGGCTGTGAGCAATTGCTAGTTGCCTTGACTCCATGGTCATGGATTTAAAACATGAAAATGGTTTATTTGCAATGCCGGAATATGTTTATGACTTTATTTACATACACCCTCCCAATCATTGGATTTAAGGGAGAATTATTCACTGAGTTATTGGTCATGCCCTTTTTTTAAAGCAAAATTTAAAATGACTGGAAAATCTCCTTGAACTTTGTTATGTTGTGACTTTCTTTGAAGCAGGTCGTTCTTGGGCTAGAATTTAGACAGTATGAGTCCTCGTCTTTTTAGGAATTTGGGTTTTAGACAGATGCAAACTTAGTATTACAATTTCTAGCTTTTGAGATTTGACTGTTAATGCCTACTATTGAACTGCTTTCGGATGTTTTTTCATCAATCATTGGATTTCTACTTAAATTTTAGGTATTTACATGGTTTTTTAAATCTTTCTTTCTTATTTCAATGTTCTTTCAGGTCTTTGTTTCTAAGTTTTTTTCAAATTCTTCTCCTTTCAGGGACAGAGCAAAAACTTTTGATGCTGCTTGTTCGATGATTGATAAGTTCTGGCAGCTAAAAAGAAAGCGCTCTCGAATTGGCTACCCATCAAATGTGCGGACCACTGGTTTATATCAAGGAGCAAACATTCCTAAGACTGGACTTCAAAGTTATGCGTCTGGAAGTGGCCTTGAGGCTGGGTCTCAAAGAGAGGAAAAGTCTAAAATTGGAATACCAAGCAGAAGGATTCGAACTTCTCTTCTTGAAGTATGGTTTTTCTTATTGAATTTTCTTTTTCTTCTTCAAGCTTACTGACAATTTGTGCTCAGTATCTATTATTATTCAATAATTCGTTTAGCTTTTTTGTACCATATGCTTTCTGTGGTATTCAAGACCATTAAGCATGAGCAATGCTGAACATTACGGTTGACTGTCTGCTAAATTTACTGTCTTTAAACTTTGGGCATTTTGCATTCATCTTTGGAGGTTTACTGTGTTTACACTTTGCATTTTGAATTCCTCTTTGGATGTGCCCTGAATCTTTATTATTGACTTTTAGTCTGCTACGGTTTTAATTTGTCATGATGGTGGTTCATGTTTCCATGGTGCCTGGGATTTCTTTATTTTTTTTTTCTTTTTACATAGTTATAGTCAATAATTTTTGATATTGTTGATTGTCAATGACTACATGCTGCATTTGTTATCCCTCAACTATTTATCAGACAGAAAATCAGAATTTGCACCCCATGATTTCCACAAATTTACAACAACAATCATTTAAGAGATGAGAAAATATTGAATAATGCATATCTTCATGGTTTTACACTTCTACTTAACTTTTTTGAGCATTTTATGTAATTATTGGGAGAGATATTATATATATATTGTTTTATTTAGATGGATGTACAGACTAATGGTACCACAAGAATGTCCGGGCCTCTGGAGAGGGATAAAGATATGTTAAAATCCATAAACGGAAATGCGACACAGTTGGCTGAAAATGATGGAGCATTTTCAGCAGACGGTTGGGAACGGTCAAAATTGAAAAAGAAGCGTTCTGTAATAAAATCAGATGCTTCAACAAATTCTGGATTGTCTAGATCATCACAAGGAGGAGAACGGGAAGTTAAAAGAGGAATGCAGCAAAAGCTTGGCATTGATGCTCGACCAAGAATTAATCATGCACACAGCTTCAGGTACAATATTTAACGTTTCAGCTTTTAAATGCACTTTCTTTGTTACATGAAAAGTTGATTGTTTAGTCTGATGCTTCAATTTATTTAGGGTGGGATATTGGATTGATGAAGTGTAGTTTTTACAGGCCAGGATTGGATGGTAGTACTACAATGGTTGGAAATTCAGACACAAGCCCTCAACAACATGTTCCCAGTGTGCGCTCTCGGATTGAACTAAATAATGCTTCACTTCAGAATGACAAAAGAGATGTGCGATTTTTTCCAGAGACTGAAAATGCCTCCCTTAAAGTTATTTCCAAGTATGATATCGTTTGTGATGACCTTTTTCACTGTTGATTGGGTACTTAATATCCTTTGATGGCATTAAATGGACAATCAGATCATTACAGAGGAAAATAAATTGATATTGCCTTCATCATTTTTGATATTTTATTAGGGAGAAAACCTTTCACCTTGTTACAAATTTATATGTTAATTTTTTTCTTAGAAATTGATGTGGTATTCCTTATATGTGATGAAGTTTGATCCCATATGTTGCTCACTATTTTTGATAGCCTACATTTACTTTTTTCTGAACTATCTTGCTTTGAAATTGTTTAACTCGAACCTTGGATGTTCAGGCCTAACAGCAAAGAAGATAGGTGTGGTGCAAGTCCTTCATTTTTAAAATTTGGTTCTTTCCGAACACGGACCAATCCAGGTTCACTGCCAAAAACAGCAGGCAACATCCATCGAGTTGTGGGAAATCAAGAGGATATGGAGCTGCCTCAAGCTACAGAGAAGCTCAATGCTCTTGGTGTTAGTAATCGGAAAAGAGCAGCTTCTGTTAGGTCATCATCGCCTCCTGTAGGACAATGGGCTGTACAAAGGCCAAAAAAGTTTTCCCGTTCTTCAAGAAGATCGAGTCTCTCCCCCCTTGTTCCAAGCCATGATGAGTTGGTTGTACCAGAGGCTATGGACGAGGCTTCCATCCATCATGATAGTTTAGGGGAGGCAAGGCATGCATCTTTGAGTGCTTCCCAACAGAGTAAAATGACCTCAGCTTCACTGTCAGAAAGTGAGGAATCAGGTGTTCAAGAAAACAAGCTAAAATGTAAGGTGAATAAATGCACAGAAATGGAGGATAAATCTGGTCAAACTGTTCAGAAGTCTGCAAATCTCATCATGGCATCAAGGAAGAATAGGATGGCTGTTGAGGAGGATGCTGGAGATGGTGATCGTAGGCAGGGGAGGATTGGAAGGTGTTTTGCTCCTGCAAGGTCTGGTTTGTCTGCAACAACTGAGAAGCTCGGCGAGGCTGTCACTGCCAAGCAGCAGAGAAGTGTTCGACATGGCTCTGAAAGGGTTGAAAGGTGATTAGTTTTCTAGTCTAACATAAGAAATGAGGACTTATGTTAGCATCATTTCAAAGTTTGAAGTTAATTTCAGTTTCAATCTGCACTAATAATATTTTTGGATATTTCCCTTTCTCAGTAGGCCAGATCGTCCGCATATTAAGAAGTTGTCTGAACGTAAAGCTTACACACGTCCAAAGCAATCGATAAACATTTTATCGATGGAATCATCTGGTACTTGTTTATAGCTAAAAAATTTGTCACTCACTTCTGCTAGAGAGGAAGATATTCCATTATAATTTAACGTACTAAGTGTGTATGTTTGTGTGTTTCTTTAATGGATGTTTTGTTTTTGTGCTTTCTTCTCTTAGAAGAATCTGCTGATGATCAAGAAGAGCTTGTGGCTGCTGCAACTGCTGCCCTTGATACAGGTATTATATTACAGTTTATATATCAATGTTTTACCTTTGCTTTTTTGGCGATATCACGTATCAAGAAAAACATGATGGTGGGCTTGATTCAACAAATAGGTTGCCTCCATTATGATCTTGAGATTATGGTTACGAATCATGAAAGAAGTTTCATGCTAAAGCATGGGTGTAGCAACCCCATCCCAAACTCTACAATAAGTGAAGCCTTGTGTGTTTACGGGTACTACTTTCTATTTTAACAAAATCATGTGATGTTTATATTGTGTTGATCAGGAAGTTCTTGTTCCAGTTCTTTATGGAAGCAATTAGAACCAGTCTTTAGGTTTGTTTCCTCTGAAGATGTAGATTTCTTGCTTGAACAGGTAATAACTGGATACATCCTTGCAGACATTGAACTCCTTTTATCTATGCATTTAAGATGTGATGTCATAATTGTTTTCAACCAAACAGATCCAACTTACCAATGCGTCAGCTGCAGGGACCCTTGCTGATGGAGATAATTCCCAGAACTTAAAGGTAATAATATTCTGCTGCCAATAGCGTTTCTTCAGAAAGTATTTTTTTTTCTATATTTAACTTCTTTTATGATGCTGTTCTAAACTTCGTATACTTAACCTTTTTTCTACAACTTCTTGTTTTCATATAATGTGATTAATAAAGTTCCAAGAGAAGTGCTATGGAGACTTCTAGAAAAGAAAGGGGTTAATAATGCTTATACTCAAGATATGTATTCCGGAGCTGTTACTTGTGTTCAGACACAAGGTGGTTTGACCAAGTATTTTCCTATTTTAGTTGGATTACATCAAGGATCAGCCTTAAGCCCATATCTTTTTTGCTTTAATCATGGATGTTCTCACTAGACATTTACAAGAGGGTGTACCTTGGTGTATGCCTTTTGCTGATGATATTCTTCTTGTTGATAAGATTAGAGAGGGAGTTGAAGACATTTTAATTATGGAGGTCAACCTTAGAGTCTAAAGGTTTTCGCTTGAGTAGATCTAAAACGGAATATATGGAGAGTAATTTTAGTAGTAATAGACCTAGTGAGGGGATTGTGACTTTGGGCGATCAAGTCATTAATAAGAGTACACGTTTTAGATATCTTGGATCTATTGTTCAGAGTGATGGTGAAATAGATGGGGATATTATCAGCAGAATTCAAGTCGGATGGTTGAAGTGGAGGAATGCATCAGGCTTGTTATGTGATAGAAATGTACCCCTCAAACTTAAGGGAAAATTCTATAAGATGGTAGTGAGGCATGCAATGCTTTATGGTGCCGAATGTTGGCCATTAAAAGAGAAGCATAATACTAAGTTAAGTGTGGCAGAGATGAGAATGCTCAGGTGGATGAGTGGCTTTACCCTTAGAGATAGGATACAAAATGAGCATATACGTGAAAAGGTTGGAGTAGCTCCAGTAGAAGATAAAATTAGAGAGAGTCGCCTTAGATGGTTTGGTCACATAAAACGGCGGCTTTTCGATGAACCGATTAGGAAAGTAGATGTATTAGATTTGACTTATGTTAAGAAAGGTAGAGGTAGACCTAAAAAGACTTGGTTAGAAAATATTAGAAATGACATTTCTTTATTAGATTTAAATGAGAATTTAATTTTAACTGGGCACATTGGAGAAAGGATTAATGTAGCCGATCCCACATAGTGGGATAAAGGCTTGTTGTTGTTGTTGCCTGTTTTCATACAATGATTTTGGTGGCTTATCATTAGTTCTATTTATGGGGTTTTGTTGTCAAAGACGGTGCCCATGTTAGGCAGTGTATATTGTTTGTACTTTTCTTAATTATGCATTTGTTTGCATAAACTGGGACATTTTGTATTGCCATCAACATATATGAGATCCTCTGTTTCATTTTCAGTTCGACCATGAGCACGCTAGTGTCATCAGGACCATATTATTTGTACTTTTTTAATTGACCATTCGTTTTCATAAATTGGGACATTTTGTACTGCTATCAACAGATATGTGCTCTGTTTCATTTTCAGGTTGATCATGAGCACGTTACAATATCATCAGGACCAGTTGCCACTAATAGTTGGAAAAGCACTAATTTGTCTAATGGAATTAGCTCTTACGAAAATGAAAAAGAGAGGGGATTTACTAAGGATACAGTAAACGCTGATCCTCTTTTAAACAGTGGAGTCTCACTTTGCCAAGCACTTCTTTCAGCTATAATTGGAGAAGAAGATATGGAGAATATTTGCAGCACTGTTGATCATGGAGATGAATATTTATATGAGGATTGCAATTCCGCACATTTTGAGCTTGACAAAGGCTTGAAATCGAAAGTTTTGAACTTGCAGCTGCTGGAGGATAGCCAAGCTGCTAGAAGAATTTCAGATTGTTATAAAGTTGAAACTAATTGGCGATTCTGTGATGAAATTTCAACTGAGAGATCGGGAACTAATGGCATCATGGATACTTATAATAGACCAATATCAAGCTTTCAGCAAGCTCCAAGGCAACTGGTACCAATGCAGTCAACACTGTTCAGCACAGCGTGCAGTGAATTTCATTACAACGAAATGAGCATCAATGACAGACTTATTCTTGAGCTAAGTGAAATTGGCCTCTACCCGGAAGTAGAACATGTGGTAAGTTCTTATTCTGTTTTCAGAATATCTATACTTTAGTTAATTATATTGTGTTTCATGATGGTTATAAAATCTGCTCTTTTGTTTTGTTCTGTTTCATTATTGCCGTGCATGGAAACAGCCACATTCATCCAGTGCTTTTACTTTTTAATGGATTATCTTCATGCAGATTACTTGCTTCTCTATCAGAAAAGAGTTTAATCCCTACTAGACGTGAGGTTCATAGGCACACTTATTTGGCATATATGCTACTGAAATGATTATTACTTTCCTCTTTGGACTATATACCATTGAATTGAAGTTTACTTCGACTCTTGAAACATGATTTTAATCCTCTAGAAGATGAGGTTTATAAGACCATTTATCCTGTATACATGTGAAATACCCATAACATATTATTGTTTCACAATTTTACTATTCAGTAGCTATAATGTATCGCTTGGGTCAAAATTTTGGAGGAAATTGCCACGATGAAAGTGTAAATTTCGTGAACTGAGAGGGAGTCCTTTTGAGGAACAACAAAAAAAAAAAAAACAACAACAAAGAATTATGGCGAATAGCACCATTTTGACAATTGCTTCAGAAAAATATTGAGGAAAATGAAGGCAAATCGGGGCTTTTTGGTTTTGTGTTATTAAGATGCCATTGTTATTAGATGTTATTATAATTTGTCAAATACTATGTGTTTGAGTCAATGTTATTATATTATATTTTCAATGCTATTTATTTTAAAATACGATATTATGATTCTTCAGATGTCATGGCATTAGATGTTGGCCGATTTAGCCAACATATAATGTTAATAAAAATAGTTCATGAATACCATTTGAAATATTATTTAAAAACGTGAGTAAACCTGATAGTTGATATCTTTAAACATTATTAATAACATTACAGATGCCGCTTAACCAAGCTTTTATCTGAACACAATGAATCAAAGAACTCTAGATAGAAAAATTCTGAATAGGAGCTATCTCTAAATCAAGAATTCAGAACTTGTTCTACTACCAAAATTGATGTAGCTAGATGAAGGCGGTAAGAAGAGAGAAGGGAAGGAGAAAGAGAGGAGTGGGAAGGAGAGGAACCAGGCCCAACGAAGTAGGGAAGAAAAGTATGTGAGGGTATTCATATCATTTATAAAAAAATGTCTATTTCATTCTCTAAAGGGTCTATTTAATATTTATAAGATATTACCTTTAGGCCAGCCATACATGATAATGATAAAATGCTTAAATAGTCCCTAGGGCATCCAAATATAAATATAATGTCTAATAGATCCTATATAATAAGATAAAATATGACAAAAGTCCCAAACACATAAATATGAAACAGACCTAATTGTCTGTAATCATATTCATCAAAGTAATAACAATTGAGTATGATTATCATTAATGTATTTAATTTGAGTTGTAGCATTTAGTGATGGCCGATCTAAATCATTGGATAAGTACCAAAGGTTTGGAAATACTGCCTTTTATTTAGAGCTTAGAATTTAGCTCGAAGATCAAATATTACTTGAAAGTTGAATTAATTTTTACTCAGTTCGAACTGATGAGCTGAGCCATGAGCGAAATATGTGGCTTGATTTTTTCTTTTCAACGCGATTATTTACTTTATGGCTTATATTATTGATGTGGATCCTGATATATTTTTTATAAATATATTTATATTTGATAGTAGATAAATATAATAATTGTTTGATTTTGCTCATAGTTTTTGTTGCGGATTTCTTGGACCCTTTCTTACTCATAAAATTTTATAAGATATTGGTTTTAATATCACTTTCATTTTTTTTTTCAATTTCTCTTTTTAATTATTGGATCCCTAATGAAGGGTTATTATTGTTTCTATCTTAATTGATTAGTAGTTGATAGATGAAAGTTTGAATGGCCAAGATTTAACCTGACTTACCACATAAGCTTCTTTTAGCCGTAGCCCTAAGTCATATTCCATCTTTTCAAAGCAAACTCCTCACTCAATTCTCTCTCATCCCACAGCTTCGATGCTAGTCGTGACACATCATTGCCATCGATTGTTACATAACTTCTCTAAACCTAACTTTAATCTCCTTTCTGTTCCATTGGAGATCTCAAATCTCTAATGGGCATTGTTTAGAAGCCATTAATAGTAAATGATTGCCAAGTCATCTAATGTGGTAATTCCAAAACAGTAAGATATGTAGAGTAGAAATCATAAGTTGATAGAAATATGAATATAAAAAGGGAATTGAAATATGAACCATACAAATAGAAACACAAAAGGGCCACTATAATACCGCATAATTTACCTGACTTTAAAAAAAAAAAAAAACGAATTGAAAAAGAAGAAGAAGGAATTTGGAGTTGAACTTGATGTCATATGACACTTTTATACAATTCTTATATTTTATTTATTGTGCTCTTATTGATTTTAATTCTATTTCAAACAATTTATCACTTGCCATTTTACGTATTGTGTAATTTTTTGTTTCATATGTATGTCAATTTATTACTTTATAGTTCAATAGAAAGTTAATATATCATCTTTTAATATATTATTTGGGTATTATATATAAAATTATTTCTAAGTTCTATTTTCACTTTACACAATTTTTGGGTTTCGAGGCTCATGCCTCAAAATGCCTTTAGGCTTACGCCTCACCTCACGAACGAAAAAAATTTCAATGCCCAATTGTACAATTTTAAACCTTGATAATTTGAACATCGTGATAATCACATTATGTTCATCTAAAATCACAACTTATCCAATCTTGTTAAAACTGCATCATTATTTTTAAATTTTATTGACCCAATTAATACATCCTTTATTAAGTTAGCATGGTGATGCAACCATAAGCTTTAGCACCAATTAGATGCATTATAGTTTAGGGTCCAAGTTTTCTAATGCAATTAAAATGATGCAACATATAAAAATTTTAGGATTCACAGATCAAATACTGCTAAATAGGTTAAAAACTTACTTTCTTTTGGTGCAAGCTAACAAAATACCAGAATTAGAACACAAGTTATAATGCAATAATTGGATAAGTTCAAGGAAACTATAATCACGTAAAATCAACGAGAAATTCAAGAATTTTTTTGACAAAATTAGAAATCTAGTTGTATCAAATTTGAATAAAATAAATAACTCTTGCAAGTAAATGCAAATTGTTTAGAAGAAATTGAAAAATGTAGCATATCACCAAGATAAAGAAATTAGGACCTCAAGCTGGTACAAGTAGTAACTTTTCTCTGAATTAGGTTGTCACACTTCAATTGAAGGAATCATGCTTGTACATAAGATTGAAGTTGGAACAAAAAAATTATTTAATGCATAAACTCGTTAATTATGTTTCAGGAATCTATTTATAGTTTTTTCATGCCTAATTTAGTTGATATGATTGGTATAAATGAGCCCATTTCAATTCCAAATAATATCAACTGTCAAACTTTATTCCATCAAAATTTCAAGTCCATGGGCTAAAGAAGTGGCGGAAGGCAACCATGTGTACATATTATTTAAAAGCTTTCCGTAACAGTAAGCTAGTGAAAATTAAGGCCTGTGGAATCGTTTAGCTTTGGTACTCCATAACAGCAAGGTGCAGAGGGCAGAACCCACAAGTTGCATTTTTTTTTATAAAAAAAAGAAGAGTCAGAAACTGTAACCATAAAAGAGAACTTCAAGGAAGCAGCTTCATTACTGCAGCTACAACATCATTTACAATTTGATCGATATCTTACCCTTTTTAGTCTTGATAGCAATTTTTTGGTGATTGCTGATACTTTACTTGCTTTATCCTTTTAGCCTGACTTGACATATGGTGAAGATGAGGATATCACAGAAGGCATCCGTATTTTAGAGGAGAAACTTAATGGGCAGGTATAAATTTCACTATGCAGCAATATTTTTCATTGTTCTTTAAATTCCTTCTTCCATCCTTCTACTCATTCATTAATCTGTGATTTGATTATATCCGTTATTGTTATATTTGTAATATGCACTTTTCATATTCATTTTATTGGGAGTAAACATTACCAGGTTGGTACACCATGCTTTTCTGCTTATATCTGATTGTAATCTCAATCCAAGCATATGTACTATAGGTCTGGCCACAAGAAAATAGAAGAGAGAAAAAGAAATGAAAACATCCTCTTAGTAAATGTAGTTCTTACTATGGTTTAACATCTCAATTATGTTATCCCTTTACGATGGTTTGACAGGCTAATAACCGGAAAGGCCTGCTCCTTAAGTTAGAGAAGGCTGTTATGGATGCCAAAGAACTTCAACAAAGGTAGGATTTTCCTTCAAATGTTCATTTTTTCTTTGATGAGGGACTGAAGGGCATGTTCATGTGAAATATTCCAAACTTTTTTGCTCTTATGAATTAGATTCAGTGCATAAGATTTTCCACAGCATTCCTGAACTCTTTTCTAACTGTTTGCAACTCACTTTTGGTTTTTCCTTTCACTTTAGGAGACTGGAGTGGTTGGCAATGGACCGTCTTGTACAGATAGCATATGAAAGATATATGGTAATTTCTATTTACTGTTGCATATCTAAACCACTTCAGTACTTTCTACTGTCTAGTTTTATTTTAGTATATGGCATTTATACTTTTTTT